TTTTACTACAAAGTATCTGTCTATATAAGGAGTAACTTAGGAGATTTTTCTCTCAGAAAAATCCTATAAAATTTTGCCAGGTCCGGGAATCGAACTCACTAAGGCAGCGCTTTTCAAATTCCATACGAACGAAATCGCGGGCACCAGCTAGTTTCTTTCTAAAGACACAGAACATATAATAGTGATTGATCGATCAAAACATCACACAATATAATTTGTTGTCCTATTAATCAAAACGACTACCTTTGGTGTAGCAATCAGGATAGCAAACCGCTAGACAGACTCATCACCTTGTTACAGCTAATCTAAAATCATAAAGTACGTTTAAAGCACCACATTATGTAGAATGTCGTTATCAATGTTTGAAGTAAAATAATAAATATGTGACATTGACAGTTTGGTATGCGAAATAAAATGATTCATTGCTTTTTTTTCGTCGACAGATTTTTATTCCAGAGGCTCAATTTGGTGGCGTATTTTTTTTATAACAATAACTTCACATAGGGCCCGTCCGTGTAGTGACGGATTAAGAATACGGAATGTCACTACCCCGATTCATCCCGTGGGTGTCGTAAGAGCCGACTAAGGGCCCAAAACAACGCAGGACAACAGCTCTGCAAAAAGAAGGAAAACTTGAAACAAACCCTATACCAACCCGTCTGGCCAGCGTGGTCGAGTAGGCCAAAACCTCCTTTCTAAGGAGAGGCCTATGTCCAGCAGTGGACTATTAAAGGCTGTTGATGATGATAGGGCCTTCTAATCCCGAACTAAGCAGATCCCGTGCTGTGGTAATTAAGCAGGTTTCCAACTTGCAGGTTTATGCGAAAATCGTTATTTACTGTGTGAGCCGTGATCGGAGTAATATCATTATTTTTATAAACATCATCATCATCAACAGCTTTTAATAGATCAGATATATACGCTAAATCAGTGATTCCCAAACTATTTTGCTCTAAAGACCCCTTTTCTAAAATGAACTGATACCTCAGACCCCTATAGCCAAATTACTGCACGCTGCACTTGTTGAGTTTTTTAAAAGCACAACCATGATACTACCTACTAAAATATTAGTCATTCTTATAACAAATTGGTACACGTAACACAGCTACATAATACAGTGTCTTGAAAGTTTCGAAAGAGAACTTGTGTCGGTATAGGGGTAGATTTTTAGACCTCATCGACGCCCTAAAATCAGTTTTCAGTCCGTATGATGACGGATTAAGAATACAGTGTCACCACCCCTATTCATGCCGTGGGTGTCGTAAGAGGCGACTAAGGGAGCAAACTACGCAGGGTTGTCCTGCGTAGTTTGTTTGTAAACACAGGATATATTTCTAGTGAGGTAGTTGTCTATTCAATTCAATTCTTTATTAATAAAATATAAGCATCACAGTATACACCAAATCGCTTATATCTATGCTAATTTTAACCAAAATAAACTAAATACTATTACAATTGTACAACTCAGACCATCAAAAAGAAACAACATAAAATTTGTAAACAAAAACAACCTTACATCTACTTAGGAACTATAAAATTACTCTTTAAAATTTAGATATGTATAAATATGTTTTAAAATTATGCTTTGGGAGTCGAAAAATGGCCAGAGAATCGACAACAAAAATGGCCAGAGAATCGACATTACAGAAAGCATAGACAGCCTTTAACTTGCAGATATATCTGAGTGATATGTCTGAGTTATCCGAGTTGTTGATAAGATACTACATTTTTCAGATAATTTAAAAAGGCTTAACTATTTAGTAGAACTTGAAAAGTAGGTAATCAATTATTTTTCGTCAAGATTTTTTTTAGACATTTTTTTAAAAGCAGTAATAATATTTTCGAACATCTGACACACAACGCCATCTAAGCAGTTTATACTATAAAAGCTAGATTGACTGATAGAATACTAAAATACTTTTTTTTTAGGGATCAAACCCACAACACTCTTCGCAGTAGCAATTGGCGAGATGACCGCTTAAACCACTACGCCATGCAGACATGTGGTCTTGACATCTAATATCCTCCGTGATTTTTTCCTCTTCGACGTACGGCGCAGTGTCAGTATCTATTCCCTATCCTGGATTGTATCAAGTTGGTTAGGAAGGCGATTGGCCAAAAAAAACTAGCAAAAGTCCTTTGTAGTTTTACTCATTACGATGACTCCAAACCAAAATCTTCTATTGTCGTATCAATGATTTAGAACGTTCAAAGCTTGCATAATTGCATTAGCATTTTTTTATCTAAGTAATTATAATTTCATACTATCAACAGTGTGGTGACGGATAAAGAATACGGAGTGTTCGGACCACCCCTTTTCATCTCCTGGCTGTTAACTAAGGGAGCAAACTCCGAATGACAACAGTACTGCATCATCATCAGTCTTTAATAGTCCCCTGTTGGACATAGGCCTCTTCTTAGAAAGGGGGTTTTGGCCTACTATATCACGCTAGCCATGGTTGGTATAGGTTTGTTTCAAGTTCCCCGGGCCGGACGGGGTTCCAGCCCGAGTGATGGCCCGAGCCCTCGACTACATGTCGGACCACCTCAGGGGGGTGTTGGACGCTAGCCTGGCGTCCGGACGCTTCCCTGAGCGCTGGAAATGCGGGAAGCTGGTCCTGCTGCAGAAGCCGGGACGGCCTGCCGAATCGGTCGCGGCCTATAGGCCTATCGTGTTGCTGGACGAGGCGGGTAAACTTTTTGAGAGGGTGCTTTCTGCCCGCATCGTCCGGCACCTTTGCGAGGTTGGCCCCGATCTGTCGGACGCCCAATTCGGTTTCCGAGCGGGGCGTTCGACGATCGATGCCGTAATGCGCCTTAGGGCCGTGACCGAGGAGGCCGTGAGCTGCGGCGGAGTGGTGTTGGCGGTGTCCTTGGACATCGCCAACGCCTTCAATAGTCTGCCATTCAGCTGCATCAGGGAAGCGCTCCGCTACCACGGAGTGCCGGAGTACCTGAGGCGGCTGGTGGCAGACTACCTTGAGGAGCGAACCGTCATGTACGAGGACCGAGATGGCGTCTTGAGACGCAGGGCCATGTCGTGCGGTGTTCCGCAGGGGTCTGTCCTAGGACCACTCCTGTGGAACATTGGATACGACTGGGCCCTACGAGGGCGTCTCCCCCCCGGGCTGGGTGTACTCTGCTACGCAGATGACACTTTAGTCACGGCCCGGGGGGCTAACTTCCAGGAGGCGGCGCGCCTGGCCGCCACGGGAGTTTCCCAGGTGGTCGGGCGCATTGAGGCGTTGGGATTACGGGTGGCCCTGGATAAGACGGAGGCCCTATTATTTCATGGGCCCCGTCGTGGTCCACCCGCCGGCGCCTCAATCGAGGTCAATCGAGGTCCTCGTACCGGTCCGGGCCCAGATGAGGTACCTGGGTCTGGTCCTAGACGGTAGGTGGCTCTTCGACGAGCACTTCCGACAGCTTGGTCCGAAGCTGGTGGACACTGCCTCCGCCCTAGGGCGACTTTTGCCCAATTTGGGCGGGGCCAGTGTTCCCACGAGGCGGCTGTACGCGGGGGTTGTCCGGTCCATGGCGCTTTATGGTGCACCGGTGTGGGTGGCGGCTCTGACCGCCCCGAATAGGGCGCGCCTCTGGCGCCCCCAGAGGATATTGGCGGGCAGAGCCATACGCGGATACCGCATGGTGTCCACCGAGGCGGCTTGCGCCTTGGCCGGAACACCCCCGTGGGATTTGGAGGCGGAAGTGCTCGCCGAAGTTTATCGGCGAGTGGCTGACTTCCGGGCGGAGAGCGGATTTCGCCCTCCGCCCGAAGACGTGCGCGAGTGGCGCGAAGCCGCTCGCCGAGCCACCATGGTTAGATGGTCGTTCCGGCTGGAGACTCCACGCGCTGGCTTCGCGCCGTGGAGGCTCTCCAGCCGGTCATAGCCGAGTGGGCAGGGCGGCAGCACTGGGCCCTTTCCTTCCGGCTGACGCAGGTGCTTTCCGGGCACGGTTGCTTCGGAAAGTACCTGCACTCGGTCGCTAGGAGGGAACTGAGTCCCGCCTGCCACCACTGCGACTGCAGTGAGGACTCGGCCCAGCACACGCTGGCGGTCTGCCCCGCATGGGCGACGCAGCGCCGGGCCCTCACTGCAGTCATCGGAGCAGATCTCTCGCTACCGGCCGTAATTCGCTCCATGGCCGGTAGCGACAGTTGTTTTACCGCTGTCGCAACCTTCTGCGAGGAGGTAATCTCGCAGAAGGAGGCGGCGGAGAAGGCCCGGGAGGACGACCTCCACTCGGACCTGATCCGCCGCCAGCGAACCGGGCGGCGGAGGCGCGCTTACCTGCGCCTCATGCCGCCCTGAGTGTGGCCGCGGGTGGACGGGGTGGGTTTCCCCTCCACCCGCATTAGTTGGCCAGCCGCGAGGTGGCGGCGTCCGCGTGTGCCGGACGTCGCCTAAAGAGAGGATAATTGAAGACGGAGCCCGCACCAGGAGCGGGCCGGCGCTGGGAGGGCTCCAGAAGGCGATAACTACCTGGACCCCTCCTAAACTGGAAGCGCAAAGAGGGCACACCGTGTGGTTTTAGTCGGTTCGAGTCCGACACACCACCCCGCCGCAAACCCCGGTGGGGTGACGGTCCGAGGGGATTTCCACACGTTAAAAAAAAAAAAGGTTTGTTTCAAGTTTTCCTTCTCTTTGCAGTGCTGTTGTCTTGCGTAGCTTGCTCCCTTAGTCGGCTCTTACGACACCCACGGGATGAATAGGGGTGGTGACACTATGTTCTCTTAATCCGTCACCACACGGAAATCAATAAATCATGTATCGATATCATTCTCATCGATTTTTTTTCTGGAAGAAAGTCTGTATCTTGTCCTGTATTAAAAGTTTCACGATATTCGGTGGAGCAGTTCAGGATTGAAATGTTACAAACAATCTAACTTTTTTATTTATAATATACAGGATTTCCATTGGAAAATAAATGATATCACCAATATATCATCTGTATTTATTTTTTAACAATAAATAGCCTTTATAATAAATACTCTAGTACTAGGATTCGGCCGGTTGGCTAGGAGTGGCAGCTCGCAGTGACTTCTCCAAGTTCCTGAGGGCTGGAGTGATGGCGCTGCCCAGGTCTTCCACCACGCTTGACAAATACACTGTCAATGATAAAAACAATCAAACAGTAGTATTTACTAAGAAAATATTGACTGAAATAAAATAAAGCAGTACATTATTAGAAATCACATTGTTATATATTTCTAAATAGTTACTTATTTTCAGGAATTCATGATATTTACTTGTTTTAGCGATATTCATTTGTTTTTGTTTCATTTTAATTCCCGTTAGATACATTTTATGTTAGTTTCTATGTCAATAGACCTAATGCGAAAAAAAATTGTCATTGGATCCACCATGGATCTGGCCAATGGATCTTCTGAGATTGAATCAATTATATGTCCTGGGTGGGAATCGAACCCACAAATTCTGGCTAGCAGTCCGGGTCACTAACCACCAGACATAGTAATAATTAAAATTCTATACACATTTAAGGCTCACGGTAAAATGTAGTATCGGAATCGAACCGACTAAAGCCAGACAGGTAGTAAATATAAGACTACATTACCTATATCATTAAGACATCGTTTGGTGCCCAAAGCATCCATATTTCTTATATTCAGGATCTTCTCGGCGTACACCTCGCATGTGTGCGTACATACCTGAAAAGTGTAGACATTTTTCTGTAAGCATTTAAGAAACACAAGATTTAATCGTGGGAGACCCATCATCTGCTGTCCTTACGAAAAGTGCAATAATTAGATTAAATTTTGATAAAAAAACGGGTTTTTGCTTTAGTTGTAATAGCCATTTATTAATAATTCACCGAGATGACAATAGACTTAATATTTTTATTCTATAATTGACTACGCTTGTAACTATTAAAGATATTTCTGCCGTATGAAATTTTATTTAATTATATTATAAAAAAAAATATTATATTTACCTTATAATATTTTTTTACTCTGGTCGACATAATTCATTTTTCTGATTTATTTAATGTTTTTGTATGCCACTGTTCTGGTCAAAATATATGTATCTGTGGGACTGGGTAACTGTGGGAGGGCCATGCTTCGGCACGAATGGGCCGGCTCGACCGGAGTGACACCACGGCCTCACAAAAAACCGGTGTTAAGCTAATTCTTTCGTTGCCTTTCAATGAGTGAGTGAGATTACCGGAGCCCAACTCCCCCCTCCATCTTCCCAGCAACGCACTTGTGACCTTTGAGTTACAGGTGTCCATGAGCGGCGGTAGTTGCTTACCATCAGGTGACCCGTCTGCTCGTTTTCCCCCCTTATAACATAAAAAAAAACCTGAATACTCCCCATTTGTCACAATATTTTAACAAAAAAATATGATTTTGATTCCAAAGATTTTATTTTTGCTTTGTTTGTATCCATCACTATACATGGTATCTACATGTAATACTGTCTAAAGTATAGATCTCGTTCTGCTGATTCCGAAAATGTATTGTTTACACTGCTGACTAGTGATGTATAACGTAAAATAAATAAAAAATGGTTATGTGTTAATTTTTTTATGATAATGTTGAAATCCGTCGAGTTTCTGGAGGGATAAGTAAAACATAATAATTGTTTCTATTACAACAAACAAAAACTAGATTAATTTAAAAAAAACTTGATCCAATATTATCCAACAACTATTTATTTTTTTCACCGTATCTTTGTTTCACTTCATATGCTATCTTTAAAGCAATTTCTGGAAAGCCTTTTTAAAAGGTCAGTTAATAAGTTTTGTGTTAGAACAATATTGGTGTCGTTAAATAAAAAAAAATGGAAACGACACTCCAGTGGTGTGGTTCAGTGGTGTCGTTTACAATACACAAATTCCGAGTATGTACCTAGTTAAATCAATTCTGTCCAAAATTCAAGTTATTGCAAGTTATCAATGGTAAATGATGCTTCGGCACAAATGGACCAGTCTCAACCGGAGTGATACCACAGCCTCACAAAAACCGGTGTTGAAACATTCTTTATTCGCTTTTAATCGAGTGCATGAGGTTACCGGAGACCAAGCCTCTCTCGGTATAACTACACTAAAGTAAAAGAATCTAAGTCTATCCTATATAAAAATGAGATTTTTATTTTTTATATTTATTTTTTATTTGACATTGTAATTCCTACATTGTCATCTTAGTTCTAAAATGTTATACATAATTTATAAAATAATAACTTCACACATCTCACACACGGCCGTCTGATCCCAAAATAGGCATAACCTGTGCTATGGTAACCAGACTACTGATAAACATACTTATAGATTTTTAAATACATACATAATATAGATAAATTACACCCAGACACAGAACAAATGACCGTGCTCATCACACAATATTTGTCCTGGGCGGGAATCGAAACCACGACCTACGGTTTAGCAGTCAGGGCCACTAACCACTAGACCAATAGGCCCGACATTGACATTGATTATGCATGTTTTAAATTCCAAGGTATGAAAAATCAAAGTGACTTTTGTTATTGCTTTTAATTTCGATATTTCAATATGTATTGTATCGTTCTATTTGCATGTCTTAAATTATATAATAGTCACTAAATAAAATTTTAAGTTATTGTGAGCCTAAATGGCAAAGCATAGATGATCATTCTACTACTGTGAACATCCTATGTATGTCTTTTTTTTTTATTGAGGCTCGGGGACTCGGGGACGCAGGAGCCAGAGTATGTGGTGTTTCCACTAAAAACCACCCCGACAGCCGGTCTCAGGCGCCCTCTGGGGAGGACCCGGACCATGTTATTTCAAGGATCGACGCCGCGCCTATCCAAGCCCTATACCGGGGAGCCAATCCCCGGGGATCCTGTGTATACCTATGTTTCACAATAAAGATTGATTGAGACCACTACAGCTGTAAACTCACATCAGATAAGAACTGCAAAGGCGCCTGTTTCTCCGATAGATGCATTTCGAGATGCTGCGGCAACGTCATCAGGTACTGACCGATCTGTAATAAACAAGCTTAATTATCAAGAACAAAAACCTGCCGATTATGAATCAAATGTGTTAAATGAAAGGTATTTCATTAAAAAGAAATCTACAACAAAATATAATACAAAGCCATCTATCGAAGATGAGTTGAACTATGTAGTAACTACTAATCCTACATCGCGCAATGAAGATTCACCAAAATGCAGTAAACATACTAACTTTTAAACTATCGCGTTCTATAATACATATATAGTTATGTTAACTGCCTGGCGTTACGACCAGATTGCACGAGCTGCGGTCATAGGCTCACTGGTTTAGCGGGCTACAGTCGAGTCAGTGAGGTAAAAGTTTCTTCATCCAATCCCGCAATTTTTCGATATTATTGATCATACTTTAGGTAATTCAAAAGTAAGTACTTAACACCTGTCGTGAGCGCGTTAAATCCCGTAAACATAATTATGTTTTATATAATACTGTTGTTTTACTAACCTCAGTGATATACTCCTGCGGCGACAGGGCGAAGTCTGGCAGGTCCGTCGCAAGCGCATCGTTGTTGCTCCACACCGATAGCTGCGGTATCTTGTCTGGAATACACTTGGTTATTAGGGTACATAGTTTACATAATTAGGAGTCATCAATTACGTCACACTTTAAGGAGGGGAGGGGGTCGAAGGGGCAGAAAATAAGTAACAACGCGACCCAAGCCGCGGGTAAAAGCTAGTTATACAATAATGATAAACAATACAATACCTAATTGCAAATCTACAGGATTCCTCAGTACAGCTCTGGCTAAATTCCTGAGCTGATCCTTGGTGCGTCGCAGCACGGCCACGGACGCTACGGGCTCGTCCCTGAACGAAGACAACCGATTGCGAACTTCCGACTCCAGGAGTAGTGTTGGCAGATCATGCAGGGGATCTACGTTAACTATTTCTGGAAAAGAATTTGGCGTGGCTTATAAAAAAAAGAATTACAACAATCTTAATGCTTACATCTCCTCTATAAACAGATGACTAACTCCACAAAATCTTTTAAAGAAAAAGCGACTCTTACACGGACAGAATAAAGTACAATTTAGGTCGTACAGTCCTAATCATCTATAGTTTTATTCAACAAAAACTTGCATACATATCTTTCTATGGCACAGTTCCTATTTCTTCTATGGTTTTTTTTAATATTTAGATAGATAGGTGGGTAAATATCAGTAATTTATGGCTATGATTCTACTTTAGAAATAAATAACATTTAAATAACCGTAAACAATGAAATAATAAACTTGTTTGACCAGATTCGAACGGATAGATTATAAATGTAAAACTCTGGATTTTGGTAGGACGAGTCGAAACCGCCTAGTACTTGTAGCTTCATAACCAAAGTAGAGAGTAGTTATATCCTAAGAAAACTTTTTTTTTCTTTTTTTTTATGTTACAGGGGGCAGACGATCAGATGGGTCACCTGATGGAAAGTGACCATCGCCGCCCATGAACGTCTGCAACTCAGGAGTCACAAACGCGTTGCCGGCCTTTTAGGAAAGAGGACGGTCTTTTATTGAAGGTTTCATTTTTAAATCTAAATACTCGAAACTTTGAATATGGTTGATATATGATGTCGATTCGATAAAATAATACGTAATACGTTATTTTGAGACAATTTGTATGAGAAAATAAAATTGAGGTTTTTTACTCACCGTTTCTTTATCAGTTTTACCTGGATTTCCACAAATATTTCAAAACCAAAATTAGCCAATTCAGTCTAACCGTTGTCAAGATTTAGCAAGACTAACGAATAGATTTATATTTATACTCGTATACATATAGATTTTAATGAACTCTGATGAGAGTAAATTCTCAATTGTCTAAATTTCAATATCAATTTATCTTCCAGCTCCGAGCCTCTTTCCCAGCCTAGGTTGGGGTCGAGCTTCGATTTTTACTCGGAGCGACTGCAATCTGACCTCCACAACCCAAGAACCAGGCGATATCAAAGTTCTGTAGAAAGACTATTGTTGGACTGTTTAGGGCTTCAAGAATGGTCACGTTAAGAATGGTCACCCATCCATAGACTGACCTGGCTAGGATAGCTTAAGTTTGCAATGGGTTAATCCACTCGGTTACCACTTAGCCGCGAGCCCCTCCTGAATGGAGAAAGATGGAGTAATGTATATAATGTACCCTCGTCTTTATGTCCATTGGCCAGTGTGTCCAGTATGGTGGTGACAGCGGACTCCAAAAGCAGCGATGCTGGGAAGCTGGCGCAGAGCACGCCCGTGGCCTGGCTGTTGGTCACCGCCGCCAGGAACGTCGACTCGATCCGACGGCTGTGTGACGATATAACGTTGGATAGGGTCGAAACGAAGCTCTGCAATGAATTATGTATTACATTTTAAAGTAAAACCTTTTAATCGTAACAAAAATTCTTGAACATAATGACGTCCAAACATGTAGCTGATTGAAAATAACAGATCTTTTTAAGAAAACGTTTGAAAATACTTCCTGTACAATGGTAATTAGACTGCTGATAAACATACATATATATTTCTAAATACATACATATTATAGATACTTTATACCCAAACACAGAACTTATGATCGGGCTCATCACACAATTGTTCGTCCTGGGTGGAGATCGAACCCACGACCTTTGGCATAACAGTCAGAATCACTAACTCCTAGACCGACATCCGTGTGGTGACGGATTAAGAATACAGAGTGTCACCACCCCTATTCATCCCGTGGGTGTCGTAAGAGCCGACTAAGAGAAAAACTACGCAGAACAACAGCACTGCAGAGAGAAGGAAAACTTGACACAAACCGTATACCAACCCGTCTGGCCAGCGTGGTATAGTAGGCTAAAACCTCCTTTCTAAGGAGAGGCTTATGTCCAGCAGTGGACTATTAAAGGCTGTTGATGATGATGTTGAGACCAACAGGCCCGTTAGTATTGATTATTAATCAGAGAACTCAATTAATGGTCAGAGCTCCACGAACATAATAAATAAACCTAAACTTCTATTTTTATTATTTTTTCTTCTATAAGAATTAGTGTGACAAATCAACTACATTAAAATAAAATAAAAACAAGCAAGGTATACAGTAGTCACATTATGATGGGTAATATCCGACATTTCACCTACCGTCTGACTTAGCTGAGTGACTTGCCCGAATAGCGTGCGTTGCCGCGGCTTCCTGTTACACATTTCCGTCCCCTTTTCACGAAATAACTCCTACAGGTGGAAATACAGAAAGAGTAGATCATCATCATCCTTTATCAGTCCACTGCTGGACATACGTCTCTCCTTAGAAAGGAGGTTTTGGTCTACTGTATCACGCTGCCCCAACGGGTTAGTATAGGGTTTGTGTCAAGTTTTCCTTCCTTTAGCAGTTCAGTTGGCTCTTACGACACCCAAGAGTTGAATAGAGGTGGTGACACTTCGTATTCTTAATCCGTCATCACACGGATTTCTGATAAAATGGGACTTACCTCAACGGCGGGCATATAAACGGCATACATAGCATCGCCCGCTATCTTCTTAGCCTTGCTATGAGCTGTGGACAGCCAGCCCTCGCAGCGCTCGGCTACCACTAAGATCGCTCTGGATTGTTCTAGAAGATCCTCCTGTAGGTAAAGTTCAGTTTGAGAGGGTAGTAAACACAGAAATACAATAGACTAGATTTTGCCCGTGGCTTCGATGCTTCAAGATTTTCACGTCTAAAATTACTTGACCGTTTTTCATGTAATTTTACAGCCAAATTATTAGGGGTACAGGAAGGGCTATAGGGTATATTTGAGTGGAAGAAAAATAACTTTGACGCAAGCTAAGTCAAGGTCACATGTAAATAGTCACAGATGTTTGACGAAAGAGGAGATTTTTTTATGGTATAGTCAGGTCACCTGATAGTAAGTGGCTACCGTCGCCCATTAACACCTACAAGAATCACGAGTGCCCTTTAAGTGCCTTCCCCTAGAATCAGGGAGAGAAGGGTTTGGGCTGCAGTACCCTCACTCACTCAGTGAAAAGCATCCACGAACTGCTTAAAACCGGTTTTTTGTGAGGCCCTGGTATCACTCTGGTCGATCCTGGCCATTTGTGCTGAAGCTTGACTCTCCCAAGATACCTTCTAATTCTCATCATCAACAGCCTTTAATAATTCACTGCTGGACATAGGCCTCTCCTCAGAAGGGAGGCCAAAGCCTACTATACATCGCTGGCCAGACGAGTTGGTATTTGCTTTGTGTCAAGTTTTCCTTCTCTTTGCAGTGCTGTTGTTCTGCATAGTTTGCTCCGTAAGTCGGCTCTTACGACACCCACGAGATGAATAGGGGTGGTGACACTCCGTATTCTTAATCCGTCACCACACGGACTCGACGAACTAAATCTAGGAATGTCTAATTTCATTCGTTCTTCGATTTTTATCTATTTAAATTTTGGCGTTAACACCCTAATACTAACCACTGACATATGACTGAGGGCGAAGAGAGTCAAACAGCCCACTTGATGATAAATAGTTGCTGGTGCTTTCAACCCATTTTCCTCAGCTAATTTAACACTTATAGAACAAACCTGTTTAAGTTGTGGGTCCTGCAGGTTGGTAATGAGGAGTTGGGCCTGCATCTCTGTATACTTGGGCAGCAGTTCTCTCAGAGGTCCGTATACAGCTCGCCCGAACTCTCTTAGAGTGGCGGGCGGCAGAATTTCTACGAAATATTAAAAATATATGTTTGAATCGTGGCCTAGGATAAAACTAACAAAACAATATACAAAAATAATAACTTGAAACATCTCATACTTGGCCGTCTGATTCCAATCTAGGCAGAACCTATACTATGGTAACCAGACTGCTGATAAACATACTTCATCACATCACATCAACAGCCTTTAATAGTCCACTGCTGGACATAGGCCTCTGCTTAAATAATATAATAGATAATAATATTTTCCGTCATCTGACACACAACGCCATCTAGTTTCAAACTAAGCCGAGCTTGTACTATGAAAGCTAGATTGATTGATAGAATACTTTTTGTTGTAAATACATACATATTATACATAGAAAACACCCAAACTCCAGAACAAATATTTGTAGATCATACAAACATCTGGTCCAATCCGACAGTCAAACATTTCTAAATACATGCATATTATAGATAAATTACATCCAGATACATAACAAATTATCGTGCTCATCACACAATCATTTGTCCTGGGTGGGAATCGAACCAATGTGTAGATAGTAGATACCTTTATTCTGTCGTGGTGCGTCAATAACCCCTTGAATACAACTGACGAAGTCGTCTATGTCTGTACGCAAGTCTGTCAGAAGAAGAATACCTTCGTCTGGATTCGAACACAGTTTCAAGTTGGCTGATACTACCTGGAAAAGAAGATATATCATGACGTCACATCCCTCGAAGAAAACTGCAGACAGGTTTAAAGGCACACCGAAATGAAAATTAGAAAATATCCGCGCGGAATATCCCCCTTCCAGATTCGTCATCAGACCGTCGCTACAGAATTTAATCTCTTGGACACTTCAAAACGAACCTTATGAGCCCAATCTCAAGGCAACCTCCCCTCGTCCTTCCCTCTACTCTCTTACCTCAATCTTAAGCCGTTTAAATTGGTTGCTAAGACGGGCTCAGAGAATCGAACCCATAGTGTATTGTATTTTAGCCAATTATCTTTACATATCCATCTTTACATAATAAAAATAAAATCGAATATCCTTGTTCTATCTGGATTTCCTCTAACTAAGTAATGAATTTTGATGCGGTTTTCACACATGAGTTAGAAAATTGTTTAAAGATTTAAAAAGCAATTTCTTTATACTAAAGGGTGGCAAATGAGTGGATGCAGATGGTACGGCGAATGATGGTAATCGAAAATGAGGTGTAAAAATTTATTTCATTTATTCCAGTTTAATTTACCTTGGTGGGCGATGGTTCCAGAGACAGCAACAAATCTGTGTACAGCCTCACTAGCTCTGCCAGCGGAGTCTCAGACTTCAGGACGTTGGTTAGCCAATCTACCTGCAATTGTACAAAATAAATATTTATTTACAACAATTATACCAGAAACGCATACTCTCAAATACCCAACTATTTTAATAATAATATATAACATGAATTAATATTATAATCCATTAATTCGTCCGAGTGCGGCCACGGAGTGCGCGTGAGGCGACACACGAGGCGACACTCACCTGTCGCGCCGCCTCGCCCGCCAGCAGCCTGCCGAGCGCGGCCACGGAGTGCGCGTGAGGCGACACACGAGGCGACACTCACCTGTCGCGCCGCCTCGCCCGCCAGCAGCCTGCCGAGCGCGGCCACGGAGTGCGCGTGAGGCGACACACGAGGCGACACACGAGGCGACACTCACCTGTCGCGCCGCCTCGCCCGCCAGCAGCCTGCCGAGCGCGGCCACGGAGTGCGCGTGAGGCGACACACGAGGCGACACTCACCTGTCGCGCCGCCTCGCCCGCCAGCAGCCTGCCGAGCGCGGCCACGGAGTGCGCGTGAGGCGACACACGAGGCGACACTCACCTGTCGCGCCGCCTCGCCCGCCAGCAGCCTGCCGAGCGCGGCCACGGAGTGCGCGTGAGGCGACACACGAGGCGACACTCACCTGTCGCGCCGCCTCGCCCGCCAGCAGCCTGCCGAGCGCGGCCACGGAGTGCGCGTGAGGCGACACACGAGGCGACACTCACCTGTCGCGCCGCCTCGCCCGCCAGCAGCCTGCCGAGCGCGGCCACGGAGTGCGCGTGAGGCGACACACGAGGCGACACTCACCTGTCGCGCCGCCTCGCCCGCCAGCAGCCCGCCGAGCGCGGCCACGGAGTGCGCGTGAGGCGACACACGAGGCGACACTCACCTGTCGCGCCGCCTCGCCCGCCAGCAGCCTGCCGAGCGCGGCCACGGAGTGCGCGTGAGGCGACACACGAGGCGACACTCACCTGTCGCGCCGCCTCGCCCGCCAGCAGCCTGCCGAGCGCGGCCACGGAGTGCGCGTGAGGCGACACACGAGGCGACACTCACCTGTCGCGCCGCCTCGCCCGCCAGCAGCCTGCCGAGCGCGGCCACGGAGTGCGCGTGAGGCGACACACGAGGCGACACTCACCTGTCGCGCCGCCTCGCCCGCCAGCAGCCTGCCGAGCGCGGCCACGGAGTGCGCGTGAGGCGACACACGAGGCGACACTCACCTGTCGCGCCGCCTCGCCCGCCAGCAGCCTGCCGAGCGCGGCCACGGAGTGCGCGTGAGGCGACACACGAGGCGACACTCACCTGTCGCGCCGCCTCGCCCGCCAGCAGCCTGCCGAGCGCGGCCACGGAGTGCGCGTGAGGCGACACACGAGGCGACACTCACCTGTCGCGCCGCCTCGCCCGCCAGCAGCCTGCCGAGCGCGGCCACGGAGTGCGCGTGAGGCGACACACGAGGCGACACACGAGGCGACACTCACCTGTCGCGCCGCCTCGCCCGCCAGCAGCCTGCCGAGCGCGGCCACGGAGTGCGCGTGAGGCGACACACGAGGCGACACTCACCTGTCGCGCCGCCTCGCCCGCCAGCAGCCTGCCGAGCGCGGCCACGGAGTGCGCGTGAGGCGACACACGAGGCGACACACGAGGCGACACTCACCTGTCGCGCCGCCTCGCCCGCCAGCAGCCTGCCGAGCGCGGCCACGGAGTGCGCGTGAGGCGACACACGAGGCGACACTCACCTGTCGCGCCGCCTCGCCCGCCAGCAGCCTGCCGAGCGCGGCCACGGAGTGCGCGTGAGGCGACACACGAGGCGACACACGAGGCGACACTCACCTGTCGCGCCGCCTCGCCCGCCAGCAGCCTGCCGAGCGCGGCCACGGAGTGCGCGTGAGGCGACACACGAGGCGACACTCACCTGTCGCGCCGCCTCGCCCGCCAGCAGCCTGCCGAGCGCGGCCACGGAGTGCGCGTGAGGCGACACACGAGGCGACACACGAGGCGACACTCACCTGTCGCGCCGCCTCGCCCGCCAGCAGCCTGCCGAGCGCGGCCACGGAGTGCGCGTGAGGCGACACACGAGGCGACACTCACCTGTCGCGCCGCCTCGCCCGCCAGCAGCCTGCCGAGCGCGGCCACGGAGTGCGCGTGAGGCGACACACGAGGCGACACTCACCTGTCGCGCCGCCTCGCCCGCCAGCAGCCTGCCGAGCGCGGCCACGGAGTGCGCGTGAGGCGACACACGAGGCGACACTCACCTGTCGCGCCGCCTCGCCCGCCAGCAGCCTGCCGAGCGCGGCCACGGAGTGCGCGTCGAGGCGGCGCCAGGCGAGGGCGAGGCGCTGGGCGGCGGCGCGGCGCCAGCAGCGACACACCGACACGCCGCGACACATGCCGCTGAACAGTGTCACGTAACGAGACGTACGCTCTGATAACGAACATTATTTATATGTTAATTATAATTAAGTAGTAGCGAGGCACATAAATTCGCATTATTATGGCGTATTTCACATAGAATACATAGAATATACAGAATATATTTCACATCTATCTATCATGCCGAATTACAAAGCAACTAATAGTCTTTAATCCTATATCGCGCAATAATTAGTCGCTACAAATTTTTGATATTAATATTAAAATCAGTCCGCCTGTGACCATGACCAGTGTTACCTGGTTAAAAGGTGTATGTAGTGCCCTTTCAGATGTATGTAGTACCTTTAATTTACATTAAACCCTGTTATATTATTGTCACGAAACATCGCGAAAGTTCGAATAACCGCGCCATTCCAGGAATCGTTTAATACGAATGCAGGTTGGCACAGACAAATATGCTTTATACCAATACGCAGTTCAATACGTAGTCCGTGTGGTGACGGATTAAGAATACAGTCTTACTACCCCAATTCATTCACGTGGTATAGTATGCCAAAACCTCCTTTCTAAGGAGAGGCCTATATTCAGCAGTGGACTAGTAAAGGCTGTTGATGAATACGCAAAAGATCGAAAACAGATTGTCGCGCGATTATTTTGTTTACATCCGAAACGAACTTGTATTTCTCAAAAGCGAACGGTTCTTTTACGGATCGGAAATTGCTAGAATGTTTCTTTATGAGTATTATAAATACGGACACGTCTTCGTTGGAATTAGTTCACTTGGAGCTACAGTGCGACAAACATCGAAGCGATTGAAGGGTGACTCAGCAACCTCGGCGATCATTCCAGACTATTCTTCAGTATTGTTGAACGTTTTTAAGTGTAGTGATAATAAAGTCCCTTTAGTCTTCAAAAGGTTTATTATTCCAAATCAACGAACCCTAACACGTAACATTATATAAGCTAAACTACCCACCAGAAACTTACCAGCATCCATTTGAGTGAGGGCCTCGATGAGAGGAGGGCTAACAGCAGCCTCTAACCTGTTATACAAAGTCTCTAGCTGTAATCGTTTCGTCTCATAATCTGGAGCATCACTGAGTACCTAAAAATACATAAAAATGTAAATAACTAGTGGTTATTATCAAGAAAAACTAAAATAAAACAATAGTGAACCAAATTAAATAGCAGTTTGACTATCCGCCTCCTGGCTCCATCATCAGACCCTCGTTCCTAAGCTTAATCTACTGATCTCGTAAAAAAGGAACATATTATTGTGAGCTCAATCTCGGGCATGCATTGAAACTCTTCATTGGTAGCTTAATGTAGTCATATTCATACATGCTATACTTAGGATCTAGATAGCGTTGTTTTTTATAGTATATGGGGGAGATGGTACCGCCGCCCATGGCCACCTGGTATTCAACCTAGTCACCTGGTAGTAACTAACCACTAGACCAACAGGCTGTTAAGGTTTCAAATAAAAATATTGTTTTATCTGTGTCACTGTTAGAAACTGTTTTCTTGTATCTGTGTCTATGTTGTCTGTGAAAGTAAGATAATTGTAGCAAGTGTTCTTGTTAAAAATGTGTCTCTGCTAAGTAAAAGGCTTAAATAATATTAAATTGTTTTCTTTTTAATATAAGCTCTAAAACAGGCCAGTCTCAGAATGTTATTATTTATCTTAACTGTAGAAAAATATTACTCACTTCAAGACTGGCAGTCATCGCTGCGACCTGATCACACAGTTCAGCCAACTTATCTCCCTGGAAATAGATTAAATAGTTAAAACTAGCGTATCCTGCTTTTATCCAACTTAAATCCTATTTATATGACGTTGTACGTTTCAAATTCTAAAAGTATTTTGCAATTAGGTACAGCAGTTTAGAAAATATCATTCATATATATATATAAAACTAACGAAATATATCACTTTCTTCGTTTAAATGTTGTCTTTGCTTATTTCAATAGAAGCCTCTTAGGGTACACCATGAATTAAGTTCAATATTTTTGTTAATGTGTCCAAAGAAGAAAATCCTCTGTAAAAATGTAAGTACATACCTGTGTAGGTACGCCTGAATCCAGAATATCTTCTAAGGAAGTTGCTAAAGCAGCCCACTTATCAGCCTCGCGTAGTGCTGACGCTGCACTCTGAAGACAACGATATATTAATTACCACTGGTATTGTCTAACAGCATGAAATAAAACGAAGCAGAAAACTTTTTTTATTTATTTCTTTATTTAACTTAATGCACTAGTTGTACAAAGGCGGACTTAATGCCCAAGGCATTCTCTGCCAGTCGACCTTCGGGTGATGTAGAAAAATGAAGCTGTAGGTGCAAGAGAAAACAGAGAATTTGACTTGTTAATATTAAACTTATTAATGTAGGATAAATCTAACTTACATATATACACTACTACTAAAAATACTATAAATAAAATACTATATTCATAACTACATATATACATAGAGGTCTCAAGTATACACATACAATAGATGAATATACACATTTATAAATACATAAATATCAAAACACATAGTCGGGTACTAGCGATGTGACCTTTCTGCCAACTTATTTTGTAGAAGTTCTTGTACTTTCTTCTTGAACGTAAACCGGTTAGTGGACATCCTAATTTCAACTGGGAGCGCATTCCAGAGAAGAACTGACTGTACATAGAAGGAAGAATTTTTGACTCACTCAGTAGGACTATATGCGAGGACTCAAGGGGACGTGCGCTGCCCGTACACTGTCAGCGGATTAAGTATCAAAGGTCCACCCGCGTTGATATATGTTGGTTATCGCGGTAATAAGTAGCCTATATCCTTCCTCAAGAATCAAAGTATCTCGATACCAAATTTCATGAATATCGGTTAAGCGGTTTAGACGTGTAAAGGTAACAGACAGACAGAGTTATTTTGCATGTAAAATATTGTAGTAGAGAACGGATTAGAAACGGCAACTTGTAGTTGAGTATCTTGAGATGGATGTGTAGTGGACAACAAGAAGAATATATGCTTCAGAATTAGCCTAAGATTAGTGCCAAGTGATGAAAAGTTGAGGATCAACAGACAGAAAAAGGAATGTGAGTAAAATAATAAGACTAGAAAAAGATTAAGTAGAAGGGACACTAATTCGACAGGAAAGGCATATGACGAGACGATTGATAGTACAGGCGTTGGCTCACACACGAAAATGGACTTTATTATTCATGCTGAGAATTGCTTTTTATTTAAATGTGTTTATAAATGTCCACCATCTGTTCCATTATAAATAAATAAATGTTTTTTTATCACTAGTTGACCCACACACCCAACAACTTCGTATGCGCTCAAAAGGAATACATTCTTCCAGTTTCTGTAACGTTTGTCATTGATGCTCTGATGATGAATAGGAGTATTGGTCGGTAGCGTGTGCGTGATATAATATAGCCTACAGCCTTCCTCGATAAATGTGTTGTAATAATAATAAAAATTTATTTCATATGACGACCGGATGGCGTAGTGGTTTGTGTAACGGACTGCTATTCCAAAGGTCGCAGGTTCGATTCCCGCTCAAATCAAACATTTGTGTGCATGAACTTTTAATGTTTGGTTTGGTCTGGGTGTTTCTATGTATAATATGAATGTATTTACAAAAAAAAGAAAATATGTATTTATATCAGTTGTCTAGTACCCATAGTACAAGCTCTGCTTAGTTTGGGACTAGATGGCGTTGTGTGAATGTCGTTGTTTCGAGTAACTGTGCGTCATAGTAATTGTTATTAGTACATTTAAACTTAGCCCATGTAAGTATTAAGGTACATAATTACAAAAAGATACCTGTAGCCGAAAGCATCGAGTCATATATGGACAGTCCATTCTGTCGGGTATCATGGTGGGACCCTGTCGGAGCTGCCCTTACCCGTGACAAGAATGATGCTGAGTAAAAGCAGTCAACTCTTGCCTCTGCAAACATGCCCGAGGCACTGCATCGTCAGGGCAGCACATCAATCTCCTAAAGGTATTTTTATATTGGATCCGGAGGGCCCTATATGATGCCAACGAATAATTCTATTATACAATACTTAAATATTTTTTTAATTCAAACCAGTACCTTCTGAAATTAGGACGTTTAATCACACAAACAAAAGACTCTTCAGCCCTATTTTAAACTATTTTGCCCGTGGCTCCGCCCGCATAAATGTCGGTTATCGCGGTTAAAAGTAGCCTATGTGTCTCCTCAAGAATCAAAGTATCTCCATGCCAAATTTCATTTAAATCAGTTCAGCGGTTCTTGATTCCCTATACAAACTTCCAACCCCCGTTCCAACCCCTTAAAGTATGATTTCTGGAATAAAAACTGTTCTAAGTCCCTTCCCGGGACTCGGACTATCTCTAGACCAAAATTCATCTAAATCGGTTCAGCGGTTTAAGCGTGAAGATGTAACAGATAGACAGACAGACAGACACACTTTCCCATTTATAATGTTAGTATGTATTAGTATGGATATTAGTATAGATGAAAAAGGACTCTACTAACCTCCAAACGACTCTTAAGCGAGTCAATCTTCTGCAGGCTTTCTATAGAATGTCCTGTTTGCTCTTCTACGCTTTGCACCTTCTGTTCTAAGGAAAGCAGCTTTTGCTGCAGTAGAGCACCTTCAAGTTGCAACGATGACGCATCTTGCATTATGCGAGGAATGGATGTGACAATCTATATAACATATAATAATAATAAGAGTAAAATATAAAGGATGGAATAAGATGGAGCTTGAGTAACTCCCTCCCCCACAAGGTGATCCGACGACCTGGTGAAGGTTGAGGAAGCGGTTGAATGCGGCAATGTGGCAAACCTTGAGGGAGGACTATGTCCAGTGGACGTGTTTCGACTGAAATGATGAAGATAGGATGGGAGTTTTACAAGATCTTTCGTCTCGCTTTCTCACTTCTACATCTGAATTCATGAAAACAAACGGAAGTATGTAACAGGAAGTCAAGGAAGCGCGCGTTATTTAAATTGACCGATATGCGCGATGCTAGACCACAAATGTTACACTTCACATCAATAAAAAAATTAAAAAAATTTGTGGCTCATTGATTTTGTGGTGTCATCATCAACAACAGCCTTCAATAGTTCTCTGCTTTACATAGGCCTCTACTTAGAATGGAGGTTTTGGGATACTATAACACGCTTGACAGACGGGTTGCTATAGGGTTTGGTATAGTTTTTCCTTCTCTTTGCAGTGCTGTTGTCTTGGGTAGTTTCCTCCCTTTGTCCTTACGACACTTACGAGATGAATGGGATGGTGACACTCATTATTCTTAATCCGTCACCACACGGATATGTAACTTTACAGTTGAATTGTAAAGGGTCTATATTTAATAAAAGAAGTATACCTGTGTAGTAGTTTCATCTAGAGAATTGGTCAATTGTTTCATATATAACTGCAGCCTTGTCACAGTGTTGGCAACAAATATCTGAAACAATATAATTATCATGGCAACACTGCTTTTGAATGTATATTAAATGTTCACATGCCACACCTCTGCACTGTAAAGTGCTTTCACCGGTAAGCACTGTACAGTGTAGTGGCACAAATAATGTATAAATTATATATTAAGTTTTCATTTTGACTGGCTTGTTGGTTTATTGGTTATTGATTCTGACCGCTGAGCGTAAGGTTGTGGGTTTGATTCCCATCTAGGACAAATAAGTGTGTGATAAGCATGTTCTGATGATTTGTTTTGAGTCAAAATATAATTTATTTTCATTATGTAGGTGTATGTGTGTTTAAAAGTATATAGGTATGTTTATCAGTTAAATAGAAACCAGTGTAGATAGTCCAGTCTGCCTAGTTCATTGTATTATTTTTATTTCACTCTTCTCAGAGGAAAGAAAATAAAAAAAATCGTTTTCATGTTCTTATCTTCATTATTCTGTATTATTTTAATATTTAATAACTGTTAAAAGAATCCTTAAAGAACATAAAAGAAAACATCAAATTTAACATATTATTGCATGTTTTAATATTGTAACTCTTTAACTATTTCAGTACAAATTCATGGCCTTTTTATATAGTTTCCTCCAAAGAAATTCATGATTTTTAGTTCAAAATCAATAATATAATAATTGATTTTGTTCATCAATCACAATTAAATAAGAAAGTTAAATTGTGCTAAATTGCAACATATTCAAATTAGAATTTATTTTATAAATAAAAAACCATAAATGTGACAAATTTATAACTTTTTTAAATGTTAACTACTCTTTTTTAAATGTTATCTACATTTCGATTGTTCGTTTGAGTCAGCTCGTCCCCTACCGTTTGTACACCTTTCAGAGTTGTTATCATTTAAGTAAATATGCTATTATATAAATTATTAAGGTCAATTACCTCTTTTTCTTGGTTGCTATTAGATCTCCAAGCTTTATTAATCCACTGTTTAGGATCAAAACTTTCTTCACCAAAACTCTTCAAATCCTAAACATAACAATAATAAAATTTTAGTACCAAGTGACCGGGTGTCAGCTAATAACTGAGATATATCTAGTGTTATAACCATAAGATTATTTTATAAAGATTGTTTCTTTAATAACAATGAAAATTTACCATGTTTTTAAAGTGTTTTCCCTATATTATAGTTAATATTATTAATAACAACAAAACAGCCGTAGTTTTTCCTATGATATTTACTGACGTGACGTGTTTAGGACAATGTTGCCAACTCTGGATTTTTCTGTTCCGTGGTCCCATGTATTATTACAAAAACTGGTGAAGGAACTAACTAATCACCAGAAATGTGTGCGGACTTATGCATAATAGTGATAGTCCATGAGTTAAAGCAATTAAGTATCATCATCATCAACAGCCTTTACTAGTGCACTGCTGGGCATAGGCCTCTCCTTAAAAAATAGGTTTTCGCCCACTATACCACGCTGGTCAGACGGTTTCGTATAGGGTTTGTTTCAAGTTATCCTTCTCTTTACAGCGGTGTTGTCCAATTAAGTATAACCATTTGTTTTTATAACTAATCAGTTAGTTTGTGTATTTGTATGTATACATTGAATTACTGGTTACATAGATAGGAAACTTACATTATTAAAAAATAAGGCTAACTTCATTTTTTACTTCAAATAAAAAATCTCTTTTTAAATTTTCTTTGCGAGTGCAGTAGGTTTTTATTTTTCCCGATTTTTATGGAAAACTTTTATTTTAGAACACTGGTAAAAGTGACATATACATGACACTGACTTTAATGGCATAGTGTTGTCACAACAAATATTGTTGTACCGATTTTGTCAATCATTTAGCATGTTTTTCTTTCAAATGTTTATATTTTTTACCAATTGGATTCGCCGTGACCACTAACGTGTAGTGAAGACTGTGAAAAAGAAGTTATTTGCTTCAGTCTAATTAAGAATAAATGCCTTGGTTCAAAATAATTATGTACTTGATTGTTTTTCCTTCAATTTTTTTTTAAGGTATTATAAGGTAATGCATAATTCAATTTACATTTATTATTATTTTTATTAATTAAAATTCATTAGAAATAATATTAAAAGTTACTTTAGTAGGGCAAACAGGGTTTAGGAGCTTCAATGAAGGTACCACTATTATATCCTTCTCCTTATTATTCAGTGCAATATCCAAGAAAATATAGGATGTAGAGAAAGATGTTCTGGACGCCCATATTCTGCGGACTACAATTTTGGTCCTACTAGTAAGGGTCACGGTAAACCGGGATTAGATGGGCAGGTGGATTTTCTTTTAATTATCCTGCTAAGCTATTTCTATGAGTATCTTCTACTAGTTAGCTATTTGTTGTTCGCTATAAGAAGTACTATTAAGTATATTGCCTTCTTCTGTGAAGTCCGAGTGTTCTGTTCAACTACTACTATTAGTCTTCCCATAATCTGTAGAATCTCAGCATAGTCTTTCTCTGTTCTTCATTGCATTAATGACCAAGAACAAGGCACAACTCCATATTTTGAAATTAATTTCAAATGAAAATCAAGAAAGATTTCTAATAAAATAGCGCCTTCGTCATGTATTAAATTTTTATTTTTCAGTTCATCGACTAAATTCTGGCATACGTTTACCCGAGACCTCAGCACAGCAGTCACAGACGCTACCACTGCAACACCAAGGCAGTCAATAGAATAGAATTAAGTTAATTTTTTTATCTGCTATGTTAAGAATACGCTCTGGTTTAAAGTCGGAAAGACTATGAGACGAAATGATGCAACAAACATGAAATACAACTAAAAATTGTAAAACAAATCGGTACCAAAGAATCGTATTAATCTGGAACCGACGATTTTGGTGCTGTCAAAAAAGATTAGTATTACTAATACATCTAAATAAATGCAACTAGTTATTAATTTACTTATGGTTTTCTTTCCCAATTACTAAAAATGTTTAGTGGAAAATTTAGTGCCTATTAGGGTAGTGTAGTTTTTCGTTAGTGGTTTTCTGGTGGTTTTAGATGTTGAATCTGGTGGAAAGTTCATTTAACTGTTGGCAGCACTGGTGATCGTAGTGTTGGCATTATCTATGTTTTCGACTGAAAGACTTGAAAAAAACATTATAGTGTTGGCATATCGCACCTTCAAAGACAAACCGTTTCTAAACGAAAATATACAATTTTACACAGGAGCTAAAATAAGAAAAATGCAGCACTTTTTTGCAATAGCATTTAAGATCATGGTGGTTTGAGCCATTCTTTATGGTCATAATGATGGATATTTATTTACACTATAACATTAAATTCAGAAAAGCTATTTTTTTTAATAGAACATTGTTAATTACGATTTTTAATTTTTATAGTAACACTTTTCCATTATTTTTTTTTCAATTATGATTAATTATTGTAAAATCCCCATATAAATTATGTAACAAAATATAAAAATACTTGAAAACCCATTATAATAATTATTTTACAATACTACTAAATTGAAAATATTATAATTAGCATTCGCTCAAATTGTAACTGGACAGATAAATAAAATAACACATTCTAATCAATGTTTTATTCTCATTTAAAACGCGAGATGGCGAGATCCATACATTTCTTTGACATTATGGCACTTAAATCTTTAGCGTTGCTAGGATATCTTAATAATCAGTGTTTATTCAGTATCTAGTTTTAAACCACAGCAAGTTGTCACTAAACTTTCGTCATCACTCTTTAACGAATAATTCACAATTAGTATAGACACGATATTGCATTTAGCAAGCAAATCTTATTTAGTTTTGTAACGGTCAAAACCGACGCCATCTATGTCTAAAATTGGATTTTTTTGAACAGTGTCAAACTCATTACGATTACTCTACTCTGTGCTTATGTCAGAAATAAAGAATAATAAATACTCAATTCCGTTAAGTTTTATTTATTAATTATACAATGTTGAATATGTGATATTGTTAATCTAATGGTAAGTGCTAATGACTAATTAACTGTCAAATAAGTATTTTGAAGTAATTTTAAATTATAATTATTACTACGACTCATTTAACCAATATAAATTAAACGTATTAAGTGTTGTTATTAATTTTTGACCAGAATGTTGTACTGCCTTCGTTAGTTAAAACGTACTTGTAAGTTTTTTTGCCACTATTTATGTATTTGAGGACAACAACAAGGTTAAAACTAGAATACATGTTTAGGTTACCATATTTTCACATTTTATTTTATAGTGTAGCCTTAATTAAAGACTGCCACGGCATGCATCAAACATACTATTCGTAGGAAATGTCTCTCACGAGAGAGAACTGTGTTTGACACTAACACAATGATCTCTAACATGCTTTGTACTGATCGAAGTAGCAGTTCTACCAATGGAGGCCTAATTTATAAACTGGTTGCTACACAAAATTAAGTATTCAAATCATGAGGAAAGTATTATGAATTAACTAACCAATACTGCTCTATGGTTATAAAACCTACACTAAGTAAACTATAATCAGATTTTTAATTACATAGATAGACTAAAATGTGCGTTATCATAATGTAAAAATAGTGCTGTATACTGAATGATCAAGTTTAGTTAATTTATTAGTTTGAATTTGAATCTATCAGTAGCATGACTAGCTTGAATTTACATTTGTCTGGTGAAAAGAGTACTAATTGATAGTTATACTAAACTATAGTCATATATTTTCCAGATAAGATGGGCCGTAAGAGAAATAGAAGGTCCAGCTCCTCAGATGAGGAAGACAATTTACCTTTAAGGTTGATTCGGACCAGCACTAGAACACAGAGCAAAGATGAATACTCTTCTGACAGATTGCATATGCTCCAGAGTCACCCGTGTGAGTTATGTGACCATGTATCTAAAAACAGGTAAATAATTTTTTCCTTATACATTTCTGCTAGTTGTTCTATTTATACAAAATGTTAAATGGTAGTCAAATTCTAGGAACGTTGTTTGTAGCCGACAAGTATGATGCGATGCGCTGTTTAAACGCAGCGGCCCGCCGCAGTCTCGAGCTAACTGTAACGGTAGATGGCTGGCCGCACGTCAGAAGGCCAATTCTCGTCATAAAACTTCGGTCACAATTCAGTTCTGATGACCTTTCGATCTCACAACTGTCATAAAAGGTATTTTGTTAGTATTATTAAGACTACCAGATTACAATACGATATAATCACATTACAGTCAACGTTATATGTTGAATATTTGATTACGAAAATACCTTTTACAACAGTTGTGAGATCCAAATTTGATCGGAACTGAATTGAGACTTAACTTTTATTACGAGAATAGGACTTCAGTGCATTTACATCATGCGTTTTTATATTAAAATCAATGTGCCGTAAGTCGAAACGGCATACCGCATCACAGCTAACCGCAAGTGCGTTTTAAGCTTAAGTATTAGCTCCAGTAGGTCACCCTTTGCGTCCCCCTCCCCCAAAAATAAGGGAAGTGGAAGTATTGGACTCTGGTAACAAAAAAACAGAAGTATTGCTTAACACCAGTTTTCTGTGAGGCCGTGGTATTAGTCTGTTTGAGCTGGTCCATTAGTGTCATAGTGTGCTGTGCTGTGGCCAGGAAGTCCTATGCTTCTAACTATTAAATAAATATTTTTGTTTCAGATACACCAGTTTAATCCACAACGTCAGACATATTATTATACCGCTCATCAATCAGACTGTTCATCAATGTGAAATATGCCTTCACCACTTCACGTCTCCCAATGATCTTAGTCAACACAAATCTGAAAAACACCCATTAAATGTAGTTACCATAAGCAATAATATAAAAGATGAATTATATGAATGTGATCTAGTTACTTTTGAAAATCAAGAAAATACATCACAAGGCAAGGCTGATTGTTATAATGATGACAATGATAAAACATCACGTTTCAAAAGATTTTCTATAAAAAATCGTTTGTTGTTTGAAGAAGATATTCTATCATCAAACAGTGATAAGTTATTAGCAGATTTGACAACGGATTGTAAGGTTAAAGTGGAGTGGATCCCGTCAATTTGGGAGACAAGTTACCCGAACAGTGTACATTATAACGAGCTGATAAATCCAGGGGTGTTTAGGTGTAAGAAGTGTTCTAAGACGTTCCCGTCTAGGTAAGTAAAATAAAATCAACTTAACATTTCATACCAGGTGTCGAGAATCAAACCTCGATCCTCGACATCACGGTTTGCCGGTGCTTACAAGCGGCTGAACCGCTAGCAAATGGCGTGCGGCGGCGCGGGTGACGGGGAGGCAGCGAGAAGCGGGGGCGCGGACGCAACGGCTCCCACCAAGCTATTATGTACTCGCACTCGCTTTATATACTCGAACGGGATCACTGTAGGGATGTGAGATTAATGGAAAAGAATCGATTAAATAAAAATCGATTTTTCTATATAAAAAATTAATCGATTTGCCAAAAATCGATTTTAACAAAAATAAATAATCGTTTTTTTTTGTATTATTTAAAAGTATATGCTTTCCATATTTCAATAATAAACCTAAGAGATTCATATTAACTATTTATCAGATTAAAAATAAAATAAAATTATATGAATAAAAAAATAACCTATTCGAAAAATTTCAAAGTAGGGAATTAGGAAACTAAATAGCTTTATTGATACTCATTTTAGTACTATGAAACGTTTTATTTATTATAATAAAAATGAAATGATGAGAATTTTTTATTTGACTAGTTTTAAAATAAAACACTTAAAATGAGAATTAAAAAACTAAACGACTACTCTTCATCAACAGTCTTTGATAGTCCACTGCTGGACGTAGGCCTCTCCTTAGAAAGGAGGTTTTGGCTTTGGTTACTCTATAGTCTCAAAAACTAAACTAAATTACAAATCATTCGTTAATCTTTAAGTTTAAATAATAATTATTGTCACAAATGTCCATGCAGTCCTATTTTACATTTGACTAGTATTAAAATAAAATACTTAAAAGGATCATTATCAATCCTGAACAACTACGTTATGGTCTCTAAAACTAAAATAAAAAACAATCTTTCGTTAATCTGCAAGTTTAAACAATAATAAAATTAAAAATAATTATTTCCACAAATGTGCAGTCCTATTTTACATTTGACTAGGATTAAACAATAATAAAATTTAAAATAATTATTACCATAAATTTTCAGGTAAGTAAGCAGTTTAAAAACAATAATTTTGATAGTCTCTTTCCTAAAATACGGTTTCGTGTTTTCCTGACCACATTTCCCGCTTTGGAAAATAATCTTTCGGACGGAGCAGAGATTTTTGATCCAACGCATAGATGGCGCTGTTTTTAAAATTGAAACATACTGCAAGATTTTTTCATTCGTCGCATAGATGCGAGCTGTTTCTGAAAATCGATTTAAACACGTAATTTATATAATCGATTTACTAAAAATCGATTAACATTACTATAAAAATCAAGTATAAAAAATCGATTATAAGAAAATAATAATCGATTTCAATAAAAATCGATTATTTTTTAACATCCCTAGATCACTGCTCCTTCAACGTAATCCTTGTGATCATTAAAAACCAGCGCAACATACAGTCCACTTTTATTTATCGTCTAACACCGAGACCTTAACATCAGGCATTTCCAAGTGGTCGGTTTCAGAGGGGTCGACATAAAGGAAAATTGATTTTGGGGGTCGACGAAGTCTAACAATCAACACCTATCTTGAAAGTTTCAAATAATAACTTAATAATTAAATTATTAAGTTATTATTTGAAACTTTCAAGATACTGTATTAGTTGTGTTACATGTACCAACTTGTTACAAGAATTACTAATATTTTAGTAGGAAGTACCATTGTTGTACTTTAAAAAACCCCAACAGGTCGATAAGCGTGCAGTAATTTGGCGATGGGGGGTATCTGAGGTATCACTTAATTTTAAAAAAGGTCCCAAAATAGTTTGGGAATCCCTGCTTTATACTATAATAAATACTGAAAAGTTTCCAAATAAAGCACTAAATATCCTAAGCACCTTGGTTCACAAGGAACACCGAACACTACTGTTAGGGCGTCTTCGTCACACATCCCTAGCTGGTTGTCGGGCGCGTGGGAGATCGGCCCTCGCCGGCGCGCCGGGCATTACGTTACCAAACACGATACACAACACCAGTAAATATTTATTAATGTCGTTCCAAAATTAATGTATTTATTTGTTAGCGACAATATACCAGTTATTATACAGTCCAATGCATAGTATTTACGGCTGACCTATCAATATTTTGGATGAACTAGCTGTGTCAATTAGAGTCCTCAGAGTCTACCCACAGACTCAAAAGAAAGCGAATAGCTCTCAGTATAACTCTGACAAACACCGAGATGACACATGACTGCAAATCTGATTTAAGTTTTGAACTGCAGATAAAAAATACCTTAATATACTTTTATAATTTAATAATAATAATTTAATACTAGCTATTGCTTTGCTGAGCTTTGCTGGCGTTCGTATACATATTTTTTCTATATGGATTAGAAACAGTATTGTTACTTACTCCATGAAAAAATACGTATACCTGTATCCCCAAATTTACAGCCTTAATTGAGATGTTTCCAAACCTTAAATTAGAATTTGTTCTACTTAAAAAGCTTTAATAGACATTTTAAAGTAACTAAGTGAAAGTGTTAAGTGACTGTAATCCGGACCTATTCCGTCACTAACCGATAAACAAGCTGTCATTTGGGATGATACTTTCTACAGAGAACTGTCACTTTACATAAAAAAAGTATTTTTATTTTTTACAGATATGCGGCAATAACACACGAAGCAAGTCATATATTCTTTAAGAATAGTCAAGTAACTCAATGTGAATTATGCAAGCAATATATTTTAGGTGATATTAATAAATTAAAACAACATCATATAACATCACATGCACAGGAGATGTCAAAGAAATATTTTGGCGGGCGATCTGAAGAAAATGACGGGAGGTGTGAAGAAAATGGTGGCATAGACGAACCTAATGTTAAGGTTTCAGCAAAATTAAAGTTTTGCGATATATGTTATTCATTTTGTAAAAATAATAGCACCCATAAATATAATTGTGTTGGTGAGTTAAGTCAACTTGGAAAAAGATATAGATGTCAGAAGTGTGGATATAAGTTTTTTTTTGTGAAATTAGTTAATCGAGAAATTAAATATAAATATTCTTCATTTCATAATAAAATAAATAAAAAGAAACATGTTACAAATCATGACAGGCTGAAAAATATTGCGCAACGATTAAAAAAGATGAGAAAATATTTTTTTGTTTTATTTGTTTACCTGCTTACGATCCGTGTTATGTAATTGTTCATACACAGGATAGACTACTGGTTAATGACCCTGACTGCTAAGCAAGTAGTCCACGACAAATAGTATTATGACCGCGATCATTTGTGATGTGTCTGGGCGTAATTTATTTATTTATCTAACTTAATGTACAACTTGGACACAGGCGGACTTCATGTCCAGGGCATTGTCTGCTAGTCGACCTTCGGGTGATGTAGAAAAATGATTCGGTGCAAGAGAAGCTATTTCTATTAAATTTATTAATTTAAGAAAATTCAAACTTACATATATATACTATAAATAAGATACTATATTCATTACTACATATATACATAGAGATCCAAAGTATACACATACAATACATAAACATACACATTTATAAATATCAAAATACATAGTCGGGGTACTAGCGTTGTGAACTTTCTGCCAACTTATTTTGAAGATCTTGTACTTTCTTGAACGTAAAGCGGTTAGTGGACATTCTGATTTCAACTGGGAGTGCTTTCCAGAGAAGAACTGACTGTACATAGAAGGAAGAATTGATGAAGTTGGAAGTGGGCCAAAGAAGAAGCATATTATTTGTGACCGAAGATTTTGGTCGTGATTGGTGCCCTAGTTTTTGAGAAATAAGCGTGGCCGACCTGGGAAGATTCGCCTTTTGAACCAGTGACCGACAAATTTCGATATTTGGCGACAAATTTCGACTAATTAGCGACTAAATTTGGGAGAAAACATCTTCGCTAGTTTATGACATACAAGCGTGGCCCTGCTGGGGAGACTGACTCGAGCAGGGCTCCTTTAAGAGGCCGCTTAGGACTGTTGAATCAGTGACTGACACATTCTGATATTTGGCAACAAATTTCGACAAATTAGCGACTAAATTTATGTGTTAGCAAAATTAAAATCAGTGATGGTGGCCCTGCCGCGGTCAGTGACACTGTTATCACCGCTATCACTATCACTTACAACCACAATTATCGTGTGATACATTCACACGATAATTGATGCGATAATTGATTACATAACGTGACAGTTAATGTGTCTGCCGACCGCGATACTTATGACCTAATTTCTTGCTACTTTCAGTTAGCGTGCGTGTTAGCAGCTCAATCATGAGTTACTAGAAGTAGAAACTTAGTGGGGTTTCGAAATTCAATAGTTTTGATAACTTGGCTCAGTTTAATTCATTCGACGGGCCTTTTGGTCTAATGCTTAGTGTTACTGACTGCTAAACCAAAGATCGTGGGTTCGATTCCCAACTAGGTTAAATATTGTGTGATGAGCACAATAATTTGTTCTATGTCTATATGTTAATTATCTATAACTAGGTGTTACCTACCACGCTTCTTGTGGTAAATTGTGGTTACATTGAAATTTGAAGCAGTTTGTATATTGTGACAAAATTTGAGCTCAATCGATGCAGAACTTTCAGTTTTCGAAGCGTACCTACATTACATACTAACCCACCAACTTAACATTTATATATATATATATATATATATATATATATATATATATATATATATATATATATATATATATATATATATATATATATATATATATATCGATACGTATGTATTTCTATATAGGTATATTATAAGTATGTTTATAAGCAGTCTGGTTATCATGGCACAGGCTCTGCCTAGTTTGAGATCAGATAGCCGTGTGTGAAATGTTTGAGGTTATTAATAGATATTATTATTCTTCAATCCTTGTCCAAGCTGTAAACCTATGAAATGTGCTACCACAAGAAATCAGGATATTCAGGATACCCATACGGGTGTATATGTTTGTATAAAAGAAACATACGTATAAACAAGTAAATATACTAACTCAAAATTATAAAATACACTCATTTATGTATATTATGTGTATTACATAAAAACACGCAACATCAAGCCTTTTACAGGTCCTCACTTTACATACCTATATAATCAATATATTACCTAATGAACCTCCGTGTGTAGACGGATTAAGAATACAGAGTGTCACCACCCCTATTCATCCCGTGGGTGTCGTAAGAGCCGACTAAGGGAAAGACTACGTAGAACAAGAGCATTGCACAGAGAAGGAAAACTTGAAATAAACCCTTTTTTTTTTTACGTTTGGAAATCCCCTCGGACCGTCACCCCGCCGGGGCTCTCGTTCGGCGGGGCGGTGTGTCGGACTCGAACCGGCTAAACCCACACGGTGTGCCCTCTTTGCGCTTCCAGTTTAGGAGGGGTCCAGGTAGTTATCGCCTTGTGGACCCCTCCCAGCGCCGGCCCGCTCCTGATGCGGGCTCCGTCTCAGTGGACCCTCTCTTTAGGCGACGTCCGGCACACGCGGACGCCGCCCCCTCGCGGCTGGCCAACTAATGCGGGTGGAGGGGAGAACCCATCCCGTCCACCCGCGGCCACACTCAGGGCGGCATGAGGCGCAGGTAAGCGCGCCTCCGCCGCCCGGTTCGCCGGTGGCGGATCAGGTCCGACAGGTAAAGACTGTTGATGTGATGATGATGATGATGACCTAATTAAACTATTCATAAAAACTTTTGCCTCACAAAACCAACCTATATCATAAATTGTACGTTGAGGCGGTGACAATCCTGGCACGTTTCCCGCCTTTTGATATCCTGGCGGATATGGACGCGAGGGTCTACGACCAGACTTGCGCGATCCGCCGGGGTGAGAGTGGAGAAGACCAGAACGAGCTCGAAATGCGTCGGAACGCTCACGGAGCAGTCTGGAACAGTTGCGGAATGCGCTGTTGCTGCTGTTCTACCTAACCTCGAAGTTTGAGTAGGTACTGAAGGAGGTCGCGTCACCTGACGCAAGTACTCACTGGGCATGGTAGCTTCGGTGAGTACCGGAAATGTATCGGACGCGAGGAGACGGCACAATGCCAGCACTTCGCAGCCGACTGGGACTCCACCCAGCTCACGCTGGAAGACTGCCCTGCGTGTGCGTCTGAGGACTTCGTCCTAGTCAGCCAGTGCAGCGCAGTGGTCACTTTCTGTGAAGCTGTAATGCTCCAAAAAGAGACCGCTGAACGGGATCGGGAGAGGGCCGATCCCTAACGTAGAGAACGTCGGCGACGATACCAGCCGAAGATGGGGCCGCGGGCCGCCAGAGGGTGGTGACCTCTGGTGGCAGATTGATTATTGCGGTAGGAGATAGAATGGCAACCTGATTGCATTAAGACGCAATCGGGCCGCCACGCCGCGATTGAGAGGGGAAGTGTTTTCCCCTGGGAAAGGGCCCGATTAGGCATGGGGTCAATTCGCGGAGGACCTGAAATAGCATAGTCCGGGTCCTCCCAGAGCAGGACACCTGAGGCCGGCCGTCGGGGTTTTTTTTAGCGGAATCACCATACTCCTGGCTCCTGAGTCCCCGAGGAGTAGGAGATCCGAAGGGATTTTCCACCCCGTGAACAAAAAAAAAAGCCTGCAGTATTGGACCCATACGACTTTTAAGGTTTCATGAGAAGATCGTACTAACACCTCAAAACCCAGCAACACATTCCTGCCTCTTGAGTTGCAGCCATGAGGCAGTTACTTGCCATCCCCCCCTTGATTACCCCTAAGAAGTATGACTTATATACATTATTATACCTACTACTAAACTCAATGTTATTCTTCTTTTAATCTATAATAATAAAATCTTTCATTCCTTGGACTTGAAAACTTCTTTTGATTAGCGTAGTTTGTTCAACATCATACTTGAAGAGTGCAATGAATCTACGAATCCTGTCGGCATGAGTCACTGTTGTAAACGTAAACTTGTTGCGGTAACCACTGACTAATTGGCTGTTTAAAAAGAACTTAGGTAAATATGAGAAATATTCGAGTCCGAATTTCGATAAGTTATTTATAAGACACTGTAAAGGTTAGCAATAGAAGTTCAATTCGTTGACAAGAAATGTTATGTAATTCAAAAGTAATTCACCGAATTTAAAAAAGAGGAGATAAACCAATAATTAATCCTGAAAAGTAAAAGAAAAGAATGACGTTTGTCATTGAACGTTGTAATACAGCGAGCCTTCTGGAAATGTTATCATCAGAGGGACTAGTGTGAGTTAATTTCATATCTACTCGACCGCGTTGACCGCGTTCGGCTTTGCGATTGGTGAAGATTTAAGTGCGGGCCCGTCGCGTGTCACCGTCACGATCGAGTTCATGTGAACTAAATTTACACTAGGCCCTGCGGAAGAATTTTATGACGTATGTATGTTGTCTCTTTCTTAGGATTCTGTAGTCCTGGGTTCTGAACTCACATGGCTGGGGTCCTACCTAGAGTAGAGCGCCTAAGGCCAGCCGTTGCGTCAGGGCAGCTTTTAGTACAAAGACCTCATACAGTGGCGGATTAGCCACTTAGCAAGAGTAGCAAATGCTACGGGCCCCGCGCATTTGGAGACCCCCCGCTCTTTCTGACCGTAAAAAAGTATCTACTTACTCGTATTTCGATCGGAGTGTGAAATCAATAAAGCCAAAATTCTTATCACGAAAGAGTTGCATCTAAATGTGAAACTATAATTTGACGGGCCTGTTGGTTTAGTGGTTAGTGAGCCTGCTAAGCCAGAGGTCGTGGGTTTGATTCCCACCCAGGACAAATAATTGTGTGATAAGCACGATGATTTGTTCTGTGTATGGGTGTAATTTATCTATAATACTCGTATGTATATATTGAGAAATATATAAGTATGTTTATCAGCAGTCTGGTTAGAATAGTACAGGCTCTGCCTAGTTAGGAAACATACAGCCGTGTGTGCGACGTGTTAAGTTAAAAATTTAAACTTTTAGTACATTTCTAAAAGTGAGCATTGGTTGCACCAGAAATTATGTTTTGCACTGCGACCCAACGCTGCGAGTGACGCCCAAGACAAGCAAATTGCCCGCGTGTGCTGAGCTGCGTCCTCACTGCAATCGGAGTGATGACAAGGGGGATTTAATTCCCTCCTATCTAAAGACTGCAGAATCAGCCGTACCTAGAAAGAACCTGCTCTGTTCTGGACGCTCTGCCCACTCAAAGATTGTACTCAACTCAACGACCCATCGTGGCTCGGCGAGAGGCTTTACGCCCCTCGCGCACCTATTCTGGTGGGGGCCGAGCACTTCCTTCCTAAATCCCACGAGAATGTTCCGGCCAGGCGTCGACACGGTGCTATAACCATGGTTCTAACTGCCAATGCCCTCTAAGGGCGCCAGAATAAAATATGTTTTATTTTGCAAATATAGGTACGAGTACAATACATGATAGGTATTACAGCGCATTAAAGCTCAGCCATATTTTACCAGTGGCGTGCAATCATTTTTTTGTATTAGGCTGAGTAAACATGCTTTTTATATTCAAACCCACAATAATATTAATATTAAATCTTAACATTTGGTAATAAACATCAATAATGACACAATAGTAAACATACAACACAAACTGCACAATAGACATTGAGATAATACATCCATAATCATAGCACTTACATAATTTTGGTGGATGCGCGCCCTCTGCCCGGCGGTCAGAACTGCCGTCCATAGTGGGGCACCGTACAGTGCCATTGACTTGACAGCCCCGTGTACAGCTGTCTTGGAACGATACTGGTTGGGCGCAAAAGTCACTTAAGAGCAGACGCAGTGCCGACCAGTTTTAGGGTAAGCTGTCGGGAGTGCTCATCGAAGAGCCATCTCCCGTCCCGTTGAGGTGCCAGGGGGTGGACTACAACTAGGCCCAAGAAATAAGAGGCCTCCGTCTTATCCAGGGCCACCTTTAAGCCTACCACCAAAGAGACACCCCAGGTCCCCCTTCTACCCACAGACAACTAAAGTGTCGTTGGTGTAACAGATTACGCCCAGCCCGGGGGGGGGGGGGGGGGGAAGTCTCCTCGAAGGGCCTAGTCGTTCCCTATGTTCCACAGGAGGGCCCAAGACCAGAGCCCTGTTCAACACCACATGACATGGGCCAACGTCTCTATATCCAGCAATAGACTGTTGAGGATGATGATAAATACCATAAACTAGATACCCTAAAACAACCCAAGGTGCCCTTGGTAGAATTTGCTACAGGCCCCGCGCTGTCTTAATCCGGCACTGACCTCATACTGTCCACTGCTGGACATAGGCCTCCCCAAAGGATCGCTACAACAACCGGTCCTGTGCTGCCCGCATCCAACGGTTGCCTGCGATGTTAACCATGTCGTCGGACCACCTTGTAGGGTTCACGCAATTTTCACATTTCTGCAATGGTCACCAATTTCCAATAAAGCACCTATTTTTATTAGGTAGATATCTATAATAACTTGACATGGTACATGACGCCATTAGATGTAATGTTTATTATTTTTTAATCGCATTCTTTATATCTATAGAAGTTCACTAATATCCCAGGTTATTGCTTCACTATAATAAATAAACAATAGGAACAGGTCATAGCTACGTTATTATTCCGTGTTCTTATAAAAAAAAACAGTCTTTCGCGAGACCTTTTAGTGACAATATGACGTCACAGCGTCAAGGCTTATAAAAAATAATTTTCCACGGCTAATAATTGCAATACCTATCTTTATAAGTATTTTTTTTTAGTAAATATCAAATGGGAAGTCCTAAATGTCTATATTTAATTACTGTGTATATAAATATTATGGTATTTTACTTAAAGCTAAATATTTTAGTTAATTTACCCGACATTGTATTTGTGTTACGTCTGCTGTCAAAAAACAGATGGTAGTATCGTTGTTTTGATATTGATATAAGTGCATTAATTCCGTGTGCTTTTTTAAAAGTTAATTATTACTTATCAAGCGCTGTTTCTATTTCACAGTTGGACGTCTAAAATCTGCCTGTTTATTGACTGCGATTTACGAGATTAGAACTTGTTTTGTCGCGCTCTATTGGTCTCCTGTAACTACCGGTGACCAAGTATATATGCACACATGTCGTAATATAGGAACACTGTTTGTTTGTCTATCATACGGTGAAGTTAATAACTAGACATTATGAGGGTGAGTCTGACAATTGTTTTAGATTGTTTTCAAATGTTTAAGAGTGCATTAAAAAATTAAATAGACAGGTTAACTGTTATGGTAGTTTCCAAATCAATCCAATGGAGAAAAAGCAGTTTAGTGTTGCCAACATCTGGATTACTCCCCAAAATGTGATAATGAGAGTGTGGGATCGTGATTTTTAACCTAGATTTATGTTTTTTTTTGTTTTTAGTTAATATGTTTCTGGTGTTTTCTGATGGCTGCGGTTGTGAGAGCACAAAACGATCCATACTACGCACCACAGACTTTTAAGGTAAGTTAATGTTTTTTACTCAAATTATTATAGTTTTATACCACTTTTACAATATTGTCTATCTACGTGCATCAAAAAATTACTCCGCATTTAAATTATCAAATATTTCTACCTTACTATTTTATTACACATATATAACTACCAATGTACATATGTGTAACATATGTGTGTACCTGTGTAGGTACTCTTTGATTTTTTAATGTCTAAAAAGTACTTTGTTTAGTACCCACTTAGATTTTAGTATTACATAATCATATATCAATTATAGGAAATTAATTGCTCTACTAACCTTCTAGGGGACGTGTTGTTACTACTAACAACATGTTTGAACATTTTCGCTTATCTTTTCAAGTTATTATTAACCTTAAATGTTGATAGATCGAGTCTTTTTCTAAATGTTCTCGCTGGTTTTAAAGTCTAAAACTTGATTAACCGACTTCAAAAAGGAGGAGGTTCTCAATTCGATTGGTATTTTTTTTTATGTATGTACACCGATTACTCTGAGATTTATGATCCGATTTACGTGATTCTTCTTTAGTTTGATGCGAAATAGTTGCCATTTGGTCCCATAAAAAATTAACATAGTTAGGCCCAGTAGTTTTCATTTTATGAACATTTTTAATGAATAATATTTGTTTACTTGGATGATATAATTTTAGTTTGTGTACGGCCTTTTCAGGAGTTTACATTTAAGTTGATTATATATTATTCTATGAACATTTTTTTAGGAGTTTTCATTTAAGTAGATTATATATTATTTTATGAACATTTTTACTTAATAAATATTATTGTTTACTTGGATGATATAATTTTAGTTTGTGTACGGCCCTTTTTAGGAGTTTTCATTAAAGTTGATTATATATTACTATTATTAATATTAAAGGTTTGCATAAGAGGTGTATTAAATTTAATCTTTATTAAGTTATTTTAAGTCTGTGGTCGACTATAATAATAAGTCCTGTCATACAGCCTTCTCATCCCAAATTAGACAGAGCCTGTGCTATAGTAACTAGACTGCTATTAAACATACTTATATATTTCTAAACACATAGATAGATAAAATTCAACAGGTCACGAAAGAAATCATTGTGTATATCACACAATCATTTGTCCTGGGTAAAAAGGGAATATACGAATAACTTCATTATTATGGCTTGTCTAACTCAGCCAATACAAATAATTTTGTCCCAGTCCCATATTATCCTAAATTCTCTCACTCTTATCCCAATTAGAAAGGGATCACCTCTCCTCCTCTGTCGTACAGTGAGGCAGTTTACAATCAGAACTTAAAGTTCATCATCATCATCATCAACAGCCTTTACTAGTCCACTCCTGGACAAGTAATGGTTGCCTCTCTTTATACCACGCTGGCCAGACGGGTTAGTATAGGGTTTGTGTCAAGTTTTCGTTCTCTCTGCAGTGCTGTTGTTTTGCGTAGTTTTCTCCCTTAGTCGCCTCTTACGACACCCACAGGATGCATAGGGGTGGTGACACTCTGTATTCTTAATCCATCACCACACGGACGTTAATCTATAGCAATAACAGTATATGTGAAGCTCCAAAGTGTTGAAGAGGCACGCATCTCGTATCGCGTATCCAAAGCGTCTTCGCTACAAGTCCGTCCATTTTCTTATTGCATTATTTATTTTTATATTATGACAGTTTGTTGAAATGATCATAATAATAATAACTTTTATCATTTATACTAATATATTTATTTCCATAGAATGTACAACAATACATATATACTTACTTAAGTAACAACAAGTATAAACATAAAACAGAATACACTTGAATACGGAATACACGTTGTAAAGCCAATAATTTATAGTAATATACATATATAATTAAAAAGGTTGCACATTCTGGTATGAAGTGTAGAGGCAAGATGAACCATCTTTGTGTATGAAAAGTGTCCGTAAAATGCGTCCAATGAGGGTGGCGCTGCTTTAGCCTAGAATAAATTTTAAATAATAATAATAATAAAAAATTTATTGCGAACACAAGATTCATAAGGGTACATACAAAATGGCAACAATAAAAAAGAAAATACACAAACAAAAAAAATACTAAGACACAAAAAAAAAGACGTTGAAAATATTATCCTGCCGTTTTGATCCAGTGCTTGTATATACAGAAAGAAAAAGAAAGAGCCGAAAGTAATTATAATAAGATAGAGTATTAAAAACATGTAAAAGGTTGAGGTTTTGTACACTGGCATTTTCCTAACTTCTCTAGTCATGAAAATGTTTAAATATTTGAACTCAGCACACTTCCCTCCGTCTACAACAGCTATGTTCATATCGTAGTTTTTACGCGTATATTTTAAGTATACAACTTTAAACTTTTTCAATTTTCCCGTATATGAGAGGGATCCTCTTGCCTTTACACTTTATACATTCTGGGAACCTATAGGTTCATCTGCTATCTGACAATTACCATAGGATACCCTCTTAATACTCTTTATACATAAACGTCATTATATTAAACTAGAAGACAACGTCATGGATGTCTAATTCAAAATTATTCCTGTCCATATTTCGCTAATATTTGTACGCTCCGCATTGTAAGAAAAGTAAATACAGTTGCCTTAAACGCATCTAAGTAAATCGTGAAACTTAAGACTACAAATAAGTTTAAAACTTTATAGTTACAAATTAAAATATATAAAAAAAAAATATAAAATATATATTTTTGTATAGCCGGTCAGTTCTGAGCACGAGTATCTCATGCGCGCCGTGTTGAGGTTGTGACTCTTTTGCCGTGACATATGGAGATGGTGACCGTAGTGCTGATTAAATAAATTAATTGTAAAAATATTAATATAAAATAAGCTTTTATTTAGTAGCTCATACACTCATTTGAAAATGACAAACTTCCATACAACCTACCTTTGCAATCCTTTCTTAGTGGGTGCTTATAATGACATAAAAAACATTAGCTTGCATAAATTTAAAGGTTTTGGCTTCAGCGGTTTAGGCCCTGCCGTAATTTAAATGTATAGATACGTTGAAAGCTGGCACAGATATTATTATTATACATAGACTAAGAAACTCTCTGTGTATTAACGGATTAAGAATACGGACTGTCACCACCCCTATTCATCCTGTGAGTGTCGTAAGAGCCGACTAAGGGAGCACTCTGCAGGACAACAGCACTGCAAAGAGAAGGAAAACTTGATAAACCCGGCCGGCCTGTGTGGTATAGTAGGCCAAAACCTCCTTTCTAAAGAGAGGTTCATGTCCAGCAGTTGACTATTAAAGGCTGTTGATGATGATTGATGAAGAAATTCTATATCATCATTAACCTATCGAGCCTAGAAACGAGTTCTTTAGTTAAGAATTATAAAATGCAATGATTGCGATACAAATCTAAATAGTTGTTGAACTGTGAAGTGAATTGTTAGAAGGCATTCGACTGTGACGAGTGTTGCAACTATTGGTACAACACTATGTATTGTACTAATTTGATTGTCACATCACTAGTTCATTTTATTTTTTTAAAAGACAACTCCCGCATCTAATATATTCTGTGTCACATGGGACTTTACAAAGAATCATCAAACGAATTGAAAAAACATCCAGTCTCCTAACACCCATTCTGATATTTTCGTTTAGATTTTTGCAATGCCATTTTCCCATTTTCATTGGATAATTTTTATAGACCTTATTAGAGATACTCATGCAATGAAGACAAATCTAACAATATTACTTATTTAAATAGTTTCTACCGTTGATAGATATAATTATATTCTTAGGTGTGTGTTCTTACACAAAGTGTTGGTCCATGTAGGCAACGAACACTTCTCGGGATAGGGCTTAGTTAGGTGCAGCGTCGATCCGGGGAAGACTTGAAATCACATGTTCCGAGTCCTGCCATGAATAAGGCGCTTGAGGCCGTGTGTCGAAGTGGGTTTTAGTGGAAACTCTATATACTCCTGGCTCCTGCGTCCCCTAGGAACCAGAGATCCGAAGGAATTTTCCACACCGTCACTAAAAAAACAGGGGGAACACTCAGTGCAGTACAGTGCAGTACGAAGTGGCGCGGCGTGGTCGTTACCAGTCCGCCACTCGTGCTGTTACTCTAATTGTATATGCAGTGGGAGAGATATGCTTCGACACAAAGGGGCCGGCTCGACCTTAGTGATACCACGGCCTCACAGCAAACCGGTGTTAAGTAGTTTCTTCATAGCTTTTCTTCGAGTCAGTAAGATAACTGGAGCCTACAGCCTCTTATTCCTGATTCGTGGGGAGGGCTTAAAGGGCAGTGATGCACATGCGACTCTAAAGGTGTCCATGGGCGGTGGTAGTCACTTACCATCAGGTGACCCGTCAACTCTTTTGCCTCCATTTACTAAAAAAACGTAAGTGGGACTGCAAATTATAGTCGACAAATTGTGGGATCTCTGTATACCCCTTTCAAGGATTAAGGATGTAGACTTATAAAGTGTCGCTTCCACTTTGAAACCTCAAAGTTCAGTTATCACCTCCCCAAATAGATTCCAGTAATAAAAAAACTTTAATTCGGATCAAATTTGTGTTTGAAATGCTAAGAGTTATCGTATGTGGCAGGTTTCAACACAACTCTTCAAGCCGGACAACATTTGGAACTCCAAACCCAGTGTAAGACACATTTTAACTTAAAAGATAGCATTATGACCTATCTTTATCTAGTAATAAGGATACGATGCATTTTATTAGGACAACTTAAAATTCATTTTAATCCACTTGTCACCTTGTCAATTTTACATAACGGTAAATACAGTTATCGATTGTCAAATCCATGCATAAATGCGTAAATAAAAATATATGCATAAATGCGTGAGGCACTCAGAAAGTTTTAAGAAACTAAAAGACTAACTTATGTGGAGTATTTTTATTAAATCTCTTAAAAGTACTATACAAAGTTTCATACGTCTAAACCAGTTTTCGAAACACCTTTTCCAGTCCGCCGCAGACACCTCTTCTACGGCCTTCTCGAACTGAGTCCCTTTCAGTTGATTTATATTTTATTGAATAAGAAGAAGTACCATGGTGCCAGTCCGTGTGGTGACGGATTAAGAATGTGACCACCCTGCATAGTTTGTGTACTGCAAATTATCCAGGACAACAGCACTACTAAGGAAGGAAGGCCCGCGTGGTAGTAGGCCAAAACCTTCTTTCTAAAGAGGGGTTTATGTCCAGCAGTATTAAAGGCTGTTGATGTTGATGATGGTTCAATCACAGGCATGTCAAAAGGTACTTCTATCAATCAATCTAGATCATTCTATAACTGCTTATTCAAAGATGTGCAATACTGACTCCTAGTTATATCATCTAATGCCTTTTTAGCGTGTTAAAACATTACTAGCATTCTGTCTGCCACGAAGACTGCTCCGTACATACGGTTCCACTGCACCGATTCTATCGTCTCTTTGGGATTTTTAACAGGAACCATCACGTCTTCCAATAAAGCTTACGGAGCCTGACCAACAAGAGGAATGCAATTGTAACGTCGAATGGGGGATGAACAAGCCCTGCTTACGGAATACAGAGAAAGAATCCTCCTGGAGTCTAGTTGAGAAGTTGGATAAAGTGACTGATAAGATTTCCAAACTACCGGTGCTTTTCTAGTGTTACCTTCTAAAACAAACAAACTTTTACGTAACAACTATTTAGTAGTAAAGTGTACTTTACCACTAAATAGTCAAGCGTGTGTTGCTCCTCGTCTAATGAAGCTCGATGTCGATTTTGCAGCTTATTTTTATCTGTTTTAAAAAACTACATCTCAATAACTATTTTCTGAGGGCATTATGTTTCGCACGTAAATTTCCAGGATCCTTCTATAAGCTGGACTTCTATTATTCGTAATCTAACAAAACCAACCTAGCCGTTTAATTTTTCCATCTCTCTCTCTTCTCCGTCTTAGTAGCATCTACAAACACAGAACTGTAAAATGGGTATTCGCCCTCGGCCTCGTCTCGAGTTGCCGCAGTTTCGTTATCCTACCTACTTGCTCTCACGGTGAGACAGCAATGGGCCGGTTCTACTGGACCGAAAACCGCTGCTAAGCAATTACTTCGTTGCTTCGTTCTTTCTGAGTAAGTTACTGGAGCTCAAACTTCCTTTCCCCTTAATTCTGAGCATCGGTACTCAACGGGCGCCCACGCACTTGTGACTCTTGAATTAAGTCCATTGACGGCGGTTATCACTTACCATAAGGTACCGGTCTGCTCCTTTGCCCCCAATCGTATAAAAAAGAAGTATATCCGTTTTCCTTACACCAATTTACCTCCTTCCTTAGTCTCGTCTGAAAAAGGATATATTCTAAAGACGGTTCAAGTCAGATAGGCAACGTTACCCCAAATTAAATTGCATGGTTTCTCGCACGGAACCTGGGTATAGCATGAGAAAGAAACGTCGGCGAAAAACTTCATGTATTCTATTAAAAAAAGTACCATTGTAAAGGAACAGGTGTCATGTCCCTCCAACACAAAGGGAGGATCCGCCGACTTTTCCTACGAGTAGCACAGAGAATTAGGTATATTATTATTCAACGTGGCATTGCCGCCAGTCTTTTGGGAACGTCACCAGTAGGTGATGATGCGCAGAATTTTTTGATGCTTGTATGTACAAATTGTAAATATTTTAATTGTATTTTAGGTATATATGGTAGGTATATATGGTAATTGTTACACAAAAAACAATGTTGCAATTTAAAAAAAAATACAAAAACAAAACATTGTATATTTACAATTTAACTAAACATAAAAAACTGTCTAAAGGTAGGAAATTTTGATATTTTTTTTTACAAATATCATAATAAAAAATTTAAAGGTGTAGTGTTGATGTTTTCAAATAATCGTTTGCTTCATTACAGATTTAAAAACTGTTTAGTAAATTATCATACTTAATACAGTCGTTTTTATGTAGGTAACCGCTGAACTTAATACTCTTCTGTTTCTCAATGTCTCTTGAAAATCATCTCTCAAGCTCTCTCGAAAAAATATTTATAACACGCATTGTGTTCCATGGTTTTATTACCCGTGTACATTTTATTGATGTGACATTCTAAAGGTATTTAATTTAGGGTTACTGCTATACAGTAGAATAAATCGTAAATTTGTAGATTTTTAGTACCTTCAAAAACTGTCACTTTAAAATGTTTAATAATTTTATAATACCATAGATTCTCTACACTTTTTAATTTCCTTTATTTATTAATCTATTAACCGATACCCAAACTGACGAGACATTCAAAGTTCTTAAGAATATTTTTTGTTTTCAGGGTCCAAATTTCCCACAGCGTGAGTTGTTTTCTCCGGCAAGAAATGATGTTTCGTCACAGAGTACCACAGTCACGGAGCCGTGGAGACATCCTGCGCCTGTCAATGAGGGTTGGAGAGGTGCGTTCATATAAATGTCAAAAAGAATTAAAGAAAATAAGTCTTATTAGCAATAAGAAATAAAAATACAATGTGAAAACTTTATAACTTTATAACCATAACACAGAATATTTATACAAATTACTACTACGAAACATATTAGTGCCCAAAATTGCCCCCGATTTATGATACACAGCTTCGGAATACAGAATTGTTACTACATACAAACAACAAACATTTATATTTTGAACATGAAATAAAAAATAAACTAACCAGAACCCCAAAGAGGGAGTCGTTTCAGCTCTCCTTTCTCTAATACTCTGTGTATAAAAATCTATGTATTCTTGTTCGTCGTATTTTAAGCGATGCCGTATCGGTATAACCTTTTGCTTTAATACAATTTCAGATCACAACTCCGGCCCTGGTAATATAATACCCAAGTCCGAGCCATGGCGACAGCCGTACGGACTGAGCAAGCAGCAGCAGGCATCTATTTTACACCACAAGCAGTCACTTACTTCAGGTATAACCATGCCAGATCTTCTCGAACCAAATCAGAGCCTCGCTGAGCATCGGCCGAGTCGCACGTGTGGTGCAACTACGTTCGTTCGATACTACGATTTCTATAAGCCTGTGTGATGAGCACGATTATTTGTTCTGTGATTTAGTGTAATTTATCTATAATATGTATGTGTTTAGAAATATTAAAGTGTGTTTTTAAGCATCTGGTTGCCTTAATACTGGGTCTGCCAAGTTTTGATTAGACTGACGGCAGTCTGATCAAAACTTGGCAGACCCTGTGACACATCTCACGCACGGGTGTGTGGTATGTGAAGTTATTATTATTATTTTACAGGCCTGTTGGTCTAGTGGTTAGTGACGCTGACTGCTAAGCCGGAGGCCGTGGGTTCGATTCCCACCCAGGACAAATATTTGTGTGATAAGCACGATCGTTTGTTCTGTGTCTGGGTATAATTTATCTATACTCGTAATATGTATGTATTTAGAAATATTTAAGTATGTTTATCAGCAGTCTAGTTACCATAGTACAGGCTTTGCCTAGTTTGGGATCAGACAGCCGAGTGCGAGATTTGCGAGGTTATTATTATTATTATTTTATCATACGGTTACCCTCACGGCCTCGTCGGAACAAATAAAGTGTTTTACCAGAATCGATTGGGCCCCCGGCAAAATCAATCGCTCGGTAAAAGTAACTTTTTTAATTATTCTTCCCAGATGGAGCTTTCCGTTTTGAGTACGCGTCCGACAATGGCTTGGCAGCAGGAGAGCAGATAGAGCCTGATGGCAGCAGGGTGGGAGCGTACCAATACAAAGACCCAAATGGACAGATCGTCAAACTGAAGTATAGAGCCGGCAAAGATGGGTTCCAGGTGAATTTTGAATGTACTCTCCATTTATGGGAGAAATTAAATGGTTATGTGACATCACGCATCGCTTGGAGTATTGACACTCCAGCACAATGAGCTTTTTACAAAACTTTGACAACCAATCTGTGGGACGTTGTCGCCATCAATATTTCCGAATCGGTATGACCTACAAACTTTCAAGAACCCACCGCTCCCACCTGAAAGTCTCACGATATCTTTCAATAGCCTATACGATTTTATAGATTTTGGCATTAAAGGTGTTCGGTGATTGTGAGTGCCACTGGGTATATAAAAAGTAATAAAAATTAAAATCGCCTGTTTGTAAACTTTAAGTATACATTTTTATGCAGTCGGGATTTAATCTTTTTTTCTTCAAAAATTGGCTTTTTCATAATATTTTAAAACAATGTTTTGTTTATAATATCAATAGATATTGGAAGGCAGTCACTTACCGAAGAGTCCAGAACCTGTGGCCCCAGTGAAACCAGGTAAGATAACATTTGAATGCTTTTGTACGAGTATGTAGTTTCACATGCGTGAAACATGACATAGAGTATTGTATATGTTAATACAGATCGTAAGCTATCTGTGTGCTAAATTTCATCTCAATTCATTTAGCCGTTTTATGTGAAAGATTAAGAAGTATCTACACATCTATAAATTATTATTTTGCAAATTTGTCAGTTTTAAAACAGGTTTTAGGAAAGATAGATTGAATTCCAAAAGAGGGGATCGACTGTTTTTTTTTCGCCTTTATACCTTCGCCGTGTATAATTTAACATATATTATTTTTGTAAAAATTTGCGTTGCGTTGATTCCATCTCTAGGGGTAGAGAATTCAGGAAGTTTATCATGATTTAAACGCATGTCTGGCTTTCAGACGATTACCACAATGTTCAAGCGTACAACCAACAGAGGCACCAGTACGAGCTTCAGCAACAGTATAACCAACAAAGGCCAGCTGGCCAGGTGCAGACCTGGGGACATAATCAGGTAAATTCATAGATAATTTACAGAAAAACTAAAATAATATTTTAAACGATAGAACTGAGAACTTTAATCACTGTTTCAGGATTCCGAGGACAACCAAAGGCCAGCTGGTAATCAGTACTTCATCAATAACTGGAGACCGCAGCCGGGTCAAAATGATGGACAGGTATCTGTAGAAGATTGAATTAATAACTCTCTTAACCGTGGAAGGGGCTTGCCTTGACATAAATGGGCCGGCTCGACCGGAGTGACACCACAGCCTCACAGAAAATCGGTGTTAAGAATTAAAGGAACGAAAGTTTTTAGTTGTTCTTCATCTTCTTCATCACTACACTCCCCATTCTTTGGGCGGGATTAAGCACTCAAAGAGTTGCAGCATACTTGAGTCTCTTCAGTTGCACGTGTTCATGGGCGGTGATAGCCACTTACCATCGAGTCACCCGTTTGCTCGATTGCACGCAACAACAAAACAAAGAACTGTGTACAGATTAGGTCTCTGGAAAATACATAGTTTTAATAAAGATTAATGATATTTAAATAATGAAATAATTAATCTTGGAAAATAAGTAATAAACTAGTACTAATCATTACGTATTAATTCATTTACATTGGTATTATTTCGGTCCAAACTAATATTATAAATGTGAAAGTATGTCTGTCTGTCTGTTACCTCTTCACGCTTAAACCGCTTAACCGATTAAGATGTAATTTAGTAGAGATCATTCTTATCCCATAAATCATCCTTTAAGGAGATGAAAAGAGGGGTGGAAGTTTGTATGGGAATTCAATAACCTTTAAACCAATTAAGATAAAATTTTGTATGGAGATAGAGTGATTCTTACTTAAATTACATAGGATTTTTATCGCGATGACCGACAAATACGCGTGGAGTCACGGGCAAAACCTAGTCTTTTAACAATCTTATATTTTAAATATATAGGTACTGTTGGCTATTGACTTTTATGCAGGTACCCAAGTAAGCTATCAGAGCAGACATTTATATCCTTTCTAGTATTTTAAACCTTATATTAATCTCATAAATGTTGTTTTCTTATTTCAGTATCGTGACAATGAAGTGGATCCGAACAAACCTCACAACTTTGGAGAGGGCTACGCTTTCGCCTTCAAAGGATAATGATAAAACTTTCAAATTTAGTTAGATTAAAATGAGACATCTTTAATTGGAAAGAGATAGATATATAATAAAAAATAAAACAAATATTAGTACTTTTATTACGACTTTACTTGCAACGAATACACCTAGCACCATCTAGGAAGCGGACTTTGAACCTCTTCGAGTTAATATGTACCACTTCGGTTTTTAACTGATTCTGCATCGCGCTGTACTAGTTTCGTAAAAAACCTAACAAAACTAATTGTTGTCACACATGTATGTAACAATATCTCTGAAATTGTTGTCCTAGTTTTGGTGTACCGTAAGTCAGCTGTGAGAGCCATGCTTTCGCACAAATAAACGGGCTCGTCTAGAGTGGTAGCACGGTCTCACGTCCGGTCAGGTCACCACGGTCAGGTCTCGTTGCTTTTCACCGAGAAAGTGGTTACTGGATCCCAACCCATACCCGAGCATGCGCTGTTAGGGGCTATTGATAATGATGATGATGGTCAAACTTCGTATGCATATCGTGAAAGGAATAAATTTTCTTCGTTTTTAGATTTCCGTACCTCAAAAGGTACAAAGGAACCCTTATAAGATCACTTTCTTGTCCGTCTGTCCGTGTGTCACCACCGATTTTCTAAGGAACGAGTAAACCTAGCAAGTTGAAATTTATACCAGATACTGAGGTCTATAGTCCCTATTAGGTGTATAAAAATCAAGGTCCTGACTCAACACGATAAAAAGATATGGGCATGTTTCGATTTTCGCGAAAATCTACGTAAAATCTGGGTAGGTGGTACGGAACCCTCGACGCACGAGTTCAACTCGTACCTGACCGGTTTTTTTTCAACATTGTTCATCGATAATCGTTTTCTATTGCGAACGTAGCATGAAATTATATAGCTTATAGCCTTTCTCAATAAATGGGCTATCCAACACTAAAAGTTTTTTTTAATACAAACCAGTAGTTCATGAGATTAGCGTGTTTAACCAAACCAACAAACTTTTCAGCTTAAAAACATTATTTTAGATGGTATAAATTAAATACTTTACTTATTACAGTTTGTTGGATAAGATTGGCAATAAAGTTAAGTTAGTCCGAAGACCAATAAATAAAGGTCCACAGAACCGGTATTTTTTGCGAGGAAATAAATTAATAAGTACATTTCAATTTAGCCGCACAATCTACGGTGCCTGTTGAATGTTATAGAGTTGGTTTACATGGCACCAAGATCTCTGGACGAACATGAAGCTATAATAATTAGTTAAACCTATAATAATACATAACAATTATATTAACCAACAGGTATTATTAGGAGGTCTCTGTCTCTGGTCTCTGAGCCTGGTACCTACTGAAGGGCCACAATTTTGTCCGCAATCTTCAAAGCCCGTGGCCAGATCTCTTTCCCGGATAATTATCACCCATGCTTAGGGGTACCATCTTTTTTGGTATTTATTTTATTTTTTATTTTATAATAGATACAGGTGGCAACCCTATTCATACACACATATATACTTACGTCTGCATACGGGAAGGGATAGACCCCTTCGGGTATGTAGACATATGAAATGTCTACATTTTGTCGACTATTATTTTAGTGCCACTTACATAAAATTCACTGAATGGCTCGGTGGTGTAGTGGTAGCGTATGCGACTGGTGTGCTGAGGTCTCTGGTTCGATGCCCGGGTCGGACCAAATGTCTGTATGATCTGCAAATATTTGTGGCAGAGTTTGGGTGTGTCTATGTATAATATGTATGTATTTACAAAACAAAATGTATAAAACTATTCTATCAGTCAATCTAGCTTACAAAGGACAAGCTCTGCTGAGTTCGAAAATATTATAAAGATTATATTATAAAAAGACACACAGGTACTGCCGTCAACTGAACACACCGCTATATATATATCTAATTAAACATACTTATATTTATTTCTAAATAAATACATACAATAAATCAATGACATTCAGGCACAGAACAAATGTTCCTGCTCATCACACAATAATTGCCTTGGGTGGGAATCAAACATACAAGCTCTGGCTTGGCAGTTAAATCGCTATCTACTCGTATTAGACCAACAAGCCCTTTACCGTATTCACGTGTTTTATATAAGAAAAGCACAGTCACTAAGGTCAATCATGATTTTAAAAATACATAAACCCATTGTTATTTGAATAGATCGTATAATTTTATTGGATAGCGCCATGTGAACCTCGCCTTGCGAGTACTCAACATTATCCTTAGTATTTGACCTTACCACCCTCCTATCAAAGAGCAACATGCAGAACAGACAGATTTAGTTTTGTTTTTAAAAATATATGTATTTATTGTATTGAAGTGCTTTATTTTATTTATATACCAGCTGGTATCCGCGACTTCGTTCGCGTGCAAAACGCTACCTAAGAGGTGTAATACAGAACGCGACTGCAGTTCATGAAGCCTCGGGTTCCATTCCCGGACCGGGCAAAATTTGATAGGGATTTTTCTGAGTGGAAAAATAGCCGAAGTTACTCCTTATATAGACAGCTACCTGGTAGTAAAAAAAGTAAAACTACCTTATAAAAATCGGTCTAGTCGTCTTGAAGATTACCTGTAACAAACAGACCGACAGACATAAAATATTTAAACTGTTTTTAGACATAGGCATTGCAAATAACCTTGTGAGCATGAAAAATTTTTGACATTACAAACAGACACTTCAACCCGCGTATATGTCGGTTATCGCGGTAAAAACTAGGCTATGTTACTCGCTGATAATGCTTTCTATTATTTATTTATTTATTATTATACTATTACTAGCTGACCCGGCAAACGTTGTATTGCAAAACAAAAAAAAAATAAGGATGGGTCACCCTTACCATTTAGGGGTATGAAAAATAGATGTTGGCCGATTCTCAGACCTACCCGATGTGCACACAAAATTTCATGAGAATCGGTCAAGCCGTTTCGGAGGAGTAGGTACGGGAACGAACATTGTGACACGAGAATGTTATATACAGTAGAATCCCGATTATCCGAACATCGATTATCCGAATATCCGATTATCCGGACTCATTCGTCTCGGCTCTAATTATTACATAATTTAAAAATGTTTTGACGGCGCAACGAGACATGTTACGACAAGTTTATTCCCGCCTCCAACGGTGTACTCCCGCTCTCATTTGTTTGCGGGATAGTGTTTGTTATTGTTTCATTTTCTTTGATAGCGTTCAACTAAAAGGTTGTCTTTTATTTTTGTTTACGTTTTGTGTTGGAAATTTAAAATGTCCAAGCGAAAAAGAGTAGTGTTGTCTCTTAAAGACAAAATGAAGATAAGTGAGAGTATAAAAAATGGTGAATCTGGCAGTAAGTTGGCACAAACATATGGTGTGGGAACTTCTACGATATCAGACATTATAAAGAATTCTGATTCCATAATGAAATTCACCTGTGCGCTTGAGCAAGAAGATGGAAGTTCGCAACGTAAAGTCATGAAAAAATCTCAAAATGAAATTCTGGAGAATGCAGTTTTTACTTGGTTCTTACAAAAGAGAGCATGCGGTCAGCCCATATCTGGACCTCTGTTATGTGAAAAAGCATTGGATTTTAATCAAAAACTTGGTGGTGATACTTCTTTCAAGGCGAGCTGTGGATGGTTAGCAAGATTCAAATCCAGACATGGAATTCGAGAACTGGAGATTCAAGGAGAAAAACTGTCTGCTAACGTTGCATCAGCCGACTCTTTTGTAGACGAGTTAAAAGAATTTCTAGATGAAAAAAAATACGATTTAGATTTTGTATACAATGCGGACGAAACAGGTCTTAATTGGAAAGCTCTACCAAGCAGATCATTAGCATCGCGACGTGAAAATGCAGCACCGGGGCACAAAGTGAGTAAGGACAGAGTTACAGTTATGGTTTGCGCAAACGCTAAAGGAACACATCGATTGCCACTGCTACTTTCAAAAATGTTAAAATACCCTTAACTTACGCTAACCAACAAAAAGCGTAGATGAACACAGATATTTTTCTTACTTGGTATGAAAATACGTTTATTCCTGAGGTGAAGAAATTTCAAAAGGACGTGGGAAAAGAGGGCGATGTATTGTTGTTATTAGATAATGCGCCAACGCACCCTTCCGCTGAAACACTAAATCGAGAAAATGGGAAGTTCACGGTTAAGTTTTTGCCCCCTAACGTTACATCGATATTGCAACCTATGGACCAAAGTGTCATTGAAACTTTAAAACGTTTATACAGAAAGCAGCTACTGCGTCGTCTTTTATCAGCAGACGACAGTGGAATAGAAACGTTGTTAAAGTTTTTTAAAGAAATTTATTTAAAAGATTGTTGTTATATGCTGGTAGAAGCGTGGAATTCTGTGGAATTGCAAACATTAAAAAGGGCATGGAATAAATTATTAAAATTAACTCTATCTGATTCTTCAATTAAACCGCACGACGATTTTAAAGAAATAACCGAAGCAATGAAAATTCTTAGCATTGGCGACGGGTGCGATGAAGAGAATATTATGGAGTGGCTGAACTGCGATAGTGAAGACCCTGGATTCCAAATATTAACTGATGAAGAAATCATTGAGGATTTAAACAGTAACGAGAGAGAAGAAGAGACTGAAACTGGGGATGTATGTCAAGTACCATCTCACGCAGAAGCTTTTGAAGCTCTAGATGTTGCTTTCAAGTGGTTTAAAAGACAGGACGAATCGGATCCCATACAGTTGTTACAACTGAAGCGCATCAGGGACTTGGCTGCGAGAAAAAGATGTGATTCATTACGTCAAAAATCTATCACAAGTTATTTCCAACCAAAATTTTAAATTACATAGGTATTATGTAATTAATTATCTATCGTTATAGCTCGTTTTTTATATATCGTATTATCTAAGTAAAACCCATTACATAATAAAAAAATATTAGAACTTAAATATTATTGGATTTGCTTTGAAATCGGTTATCCGGATTTTCGATTATACGGAATACCCCTGGTTTTAATTGATCCGGATAATCGGGATTCTA